GGAGGATGTTGTTTCTATAAAAAATCAATTTTTTCCGCACAAAACTGGCAAAGATATGGCCAAAATTTTGGTTCTCCGGTCGCTCCCCGCATTTGTCGGAAAAAAATGTCGATTATCCCGGCTGCTAGTGCAAAGCACGCGCTAATTTTTTCAGGAATTGATGTTGGCTAAGGCACAGTAAGTGCCCAAACTTTAGTGAAAATCTGTCTTTACTCTCATGATATTCTCAAAAGAAATCCAAAAATTACAAATTAACGTTTTCCTCTAATCTTTTTGTTGTCTTGTCATACTCAATGAACGTGTGGTTTGTAAGCCCATAAAATATAACGATCAAGAAGCAGAACTGAGGCAAAAATGCGGAAACAAAAGGATTATTTGAATGCGGAACGAATTCAAATGTTCCATTCATATTTTAAAATACAAATCGAGAGGGTTTGCAAGTTATTTTTGAGAGAGAATCTTTGTTTTTGTTTGTCTGAATTGGTAATTTTTTCTTGCTTTTTTCACGTGTTATGGTTAGTCACGTTATGATTTTCATTTTTTTGTAAAATTTTGCTCATCCTTTGCAGAAACAGTAGATATATTTAACTGTCTTTTGCCGACGAGAGAGTACGTAAAATGCGGAGAGCGGTCAGACAGAGAAAAGTCTTTTGGCCATAAATTTGCCAAATCTGCTTGTAAAAAATAGATTTTTTTATTGAAACGTTGCTGTTTACAGTAGAAATACGTAAGGCGTTTGCGAGTTATTTTTCGTTTTGTTCCTTGTGGTGGCATTAGAACTGTAATATTATCCGTTCATCCGGCTCGTCGTTAAATTAACCTCCGTCTGGTCAAATAAACATCCTTGCGGAGAATAATTATCCGTATACCGTGGAGGTTAATGTATCCACAAAAAATTAAGTTCTTCTGAATTGGCCAAGATATGGCCATAAAGTGTTTTTTTCTGCGTCCGTACTCCGCTTTTCGCGTACTCTCTTGTCGGCAAGTACCTGTTGAATATCCCGGCTGGCATTGTGAAGGAGGAGCTAAAATTTTTAAATAATTCATGATTGCAAAATTTGAAAAAGATCGAAGTTGAACTCTCTTAGCCGTAAAGATTGCAAAGTATCTCTGGAAAGCGCGATGTAAGCTAGCCTATTACCTAGGTGCAAAAAAATCAGACATGACACAGGCCTCGAAAACTTCGAAAAGGCTGGGCCTAGCTCTCCTGAGGCCGGGCTTGGGGCTCGACCCAATTTTTTTGGGACCGGACCGGGCTTTTGAAGATTTCACAAAGGCCTCAGCCGGGCCGACTTTTACAAGGGCTGGGCCGGAGGCTCCAAGTCCAAAGCTCGGCCCTGTAGCCATACCTAGTGCGGTGTATGATCAACCGTTGACAGGTAGAGGTAATAGACACGAGATTAGGAGTAAAGTTTATTGAGACCACCGCACACGAAGAAAGAGAAATGAGATTAATAATGATAATTGGTGACGAGACATAGCTTTTATATGACTTGGTTTATGCTAATTTCTGTGGGAATTGTGGGGCTTTTGAGGCTCCACAACACCTAGTAAAAATTAAAAAAAATCTGAACGTCCGACTTGGGGTACTTTCCCTTGTTAATCAAAAAAATTAGAATATCTCGCCCTCCTTCTCCAAGACGCTCCTCGAAAAGAGCAATAATGTGTTTATTTATTTTTTCTCCGGGATTTCATTTAGTCTCCCTCGGCCATCCGATCTCCCCCCGATCGGGAAAGGGGTTTCTGCGAATGTTTGAACTTTTTTCTCTGACCTCGAAAACAAGCATTGTTCTCGAGACGGGCCCCAATTATTTCGGGATTTAATTTTATTTGGTTTGAGATTTGAATTAAAACTGTTGCGGAGGAGAATTGACAGAATTTTTAGGGAAAATGGAGGTCAATGGTGTGATGAGGTTCATGGGAGAAGATTAGTTTTTATTTCTGATTTTTTTCAGTTGGCTATATGTATAATATATCAGTCTGTCGGAAAAATAATGAGCACAGTGTTGCACCAAAAATTGCATCGCACGCCGAGAAAATGAATTGTGTTGCGACAAGATCAAATTCCTTTTCACTTCAGCAACGGGGTCGGCGAAGCGACATGTGCTCATTATTTTCCCGACAGACTAAAAAAATCATTTCATATTGTCTTGAAATTTTACCTACGTGCTACACATCAATTCCAGAAAGTCTTAGCTCACGTTTTCTCGTCGAAACTTAACAACATTTTTGTGGCAAAAATAGTATGAAAAGTAGGAGATCGGCCAGAGAAAAGACTTCTTTTTGGGTCAATTCGTTGCTGATTCTTTGTGAAAAAAAATATTTTTTTGTTGAAAAAAGTTGTCTTGGCCGGAAAAATACTTCTGATATTTTGTGTCGTTAAACTTGCAAAAAATGTTGAATTTTCATCAACTTACGATATAAAAATTTCGGGTATCTCTGCAAATCCCAAGAAGGACTTATAATCCAGAAAACGTTTTAACCCCGTATTTTACCCTCAAAAAATTCAGTTTACAAGTTTACAATCTGTTTATTTCCAAATTTATTACATTTTGATTTCAATCATTGACCATTACCCCGCCCAAAAATCACTCACTCATGTTTTCACTTCTCCTTTTCCTTTCGTCTCGAAATTCCTTCCATTTCGATCAAAGAATGGGCGGAGTTTCGATGTTACTTTCCCTTCATCCTCCCATTATTTATTCTATAGACTACCGGCGCACGGCAACCCGAAATAGAAGAAAAATGTTTCCCGCCCTCTTTTGAATTTCGTCCAAACGAAGTGTCAAAATTGACAAAACAAATAAAATAATTCCGGGAAAAATATTTTTCGGTCGGAAAATCCCACGAAAAATTGCTTTGTGACATTTCGTTTGATTTCAACCGATACAAAATGGGCGAAGTGTCGAAAGGAGCCAGGAAACACTTCGGGTTGCCGTGCGGCGCCTCAATTTTGATCGAATAACTACTGCGATTTTCAAAAATGGCGGAGACTTTTTGTCTCGCGGCACAGTCCATTTCGCGGTTTTTGCACGGTGAAATCGCCGTTTTGAACCATTTTTCACTGTGTATCAGTCTGTCGGGAAAATAACGGCGGATCGTCGCAGAAAAATGTCTCGCTCGCCTCTATCGCGCGACAAATCTTCAGCTTCGGCAGCCGTCGCAAAGCGATGACGGGCGATTCCGAGGCGCGATGATCCGCCGTTATTTTTCCGACAGACTGATATTGTCTGTCGTGCTTTGAAAATTCGCGACAAAATAATTGAAAAATGCTTGAGCTCGGCGATAACAGTCTGTCGGGAAAATAACGTGTATTTGTCGGAGCAAAGTGTCTTGTCTTGCTGCAATCGCGCATTAAATTTTCAGCCGTAGCTGGCCATCGTAAGACAAGGTGGGCGATTCTAGGGCTCGGCAAGTCCACATTATTTTCCCGACAAACTGATATTTCGATTTTTCGTTGCAAAATGTGAAATCTACAATGAAGAGCAGCCTCTCGACAGGAATTTTAACTATCAGTCTGTCGGGAAAATAATGAGCACAGCGTCGCGGCGCCCATCATCCTGCTGAAGCCAAAATCAATATTTTAGATCTAAAATCGACAAAAATCCAGCATTTTTTTGCAAATTTCGGTTTGAAAAGTATGACATCAGTCTGTCGAGAAAATAATGAGCACAATGTTTTAGTCGCTGAAGCAAAAAGCAATTCGGTTTTGCCGCGACACAATTTATTTTCTCGGCGGTGATGCGACTTTCGATACGACATTGTGTTCATTATTTTCCCGACAGACTGATATTCTTGCAGTATTGTCATTGATGACCACTTTTGAACTTTTTTTCAAAAAGATCTCCCGTAAATTGGGCATGCGACAAATTTCGAATTCCATCGTTTTGACCTTTTATGCAACGTGCGCTTTACATTTTACACCTTGTTTAAACTTGATCAGTAGTCAAGAAGGGGGAGCACATTTATCATCTTTGATGGGAAATTTATATAACTCTTAGTTGAAGTCCGAGCTTCTTTATTATTTCGCCCAAAAAAAGGATTGTTTTTGCTAAGGGGAAAATGAAACATTTTGTAGTCAAAAAATTTTTATTTTAAAATTTTTATTTTTCTGTGGTAACGTGGGTCTCAACGCAAAAACAATCTTTATTTGAGCAATATAATGAAAAAACTCGGCGCTTTAGGACACTAAAAACAGTGACTCTTGACCATTGCAAGCTTTGTTGTCATTTACCACGGCTACAGTAAACCCTCCGTACAACAAAAACTGTCTACAACAAACCATCTCAGAGGTCCTAAAAACCAATTTTAGGCCAAGATGAACCTTTCTATTATACAACAAAACCCCACTATAACACACACATTTTTAGTTCTTTTGCCATTCGCCATGCAGACTCTTGCCTGTATTAGCATCATAGACACATATTTGACAACAATGAATATTTTTATACGGCTTTTTGCAATTCTCCTCCAAGGTTGTTGCCTGCAGCAAAACGAAATCTCTATTGTCATGCAAATGACGTTTCGCATAGAGTTCTGGCGTTGAACAGGCATTGTAACCGCTCTTTGACGCATGTCCATTCGAAACGAGCGGATTAGAGCGCATTTTTGACCTTGATTCAGACGGTTTGCACTTTTGAAACGAGATTTTTCAACTGTAAATTTTTAAAAAGCTTTATTTTACTCTGATATTTTTGAGATGTTGAGATTTTTTTATTCTTAAAATATTTCCTTTTTTTTATTTTTTTCAAAAGTCAAAAATTCAAAAAAAAATTTCGAAAGCGCCTCGAGGCAAATCTTCGAAATTGGTCAGCTGTTTTGTTGGGATTAGCTTTTTGATTAAGTTTTAATTCATTAACTTCTTTCATGTCCAGGGGCGCTTTGTTTTTTGAATGAAGAAGATGGGAAACATTCTGTGATTTTTATGACGTGCCGGGGATTGAGTCGGCTTGTTTTTCGCTAATTGAGCTTGCTTGCAGATACAAGACCGGTTGTCCGAGATGGCCATAGACTTGAAGTTTTTGGCGGTGGTGTTGTTGCTGCCGATTGTGGCGGTAAGTTTTAATTTTTTTTTGAATTTTGATGACAAATAACAAAAAAATAAAAAAATATAAAAATTATGATTGCCCGAGGCGCAACGTTCAGATTTTCTTGAAATTTTGGACATGAACCTTACCTAGGCCACTTATAAATCCCTGAAAATCTTGGTTCTCTCTTTGCAGAGGCAGCCAAGATATTCAACTTTTTTTTTACCGACGAGAGACTACGCAAAATGCGGAGAGCGCTCAAAAGAAAAACATTTTTTGAAAGTTTATAAACTTTTGATCAAAAATCAGAGTGGTTCTGACGAGCAAAATACTTCTTTGTGGTATGGAGTTACAGGGCGAAAAAATTCTCAGAACTTTTCTCGCAACACCACACAAATTTCCCTTTTTTTAATTTGGAACTACCGATTAAGGTGTAGTATTAATCAAATTTGATATTTTAAGGCTTACCAAGATACCAGGATTTACTTTAGCTCAAAAACAAACTTCTGATTTGGTAAAAACTTTGTCAAAAAGGCATTTGCGTGGTGCTGCGTGAAAACTTCTGAGGATTTTTTCACCCTTACAAACCAAAATTGGGCAGCTAGCTTCTACATATTCTGAATCAGTAAAATTTTGCGATTCTTTTGATATATGACTCGACCTGCAACTCCATACCCTATAGAAGCACTTTCCTTGTGAAATTTTCGCAAAGCGCGACAGGTCAATTTTTTCAATTTTTATAGTCAATTTTAGCTCGCGCTTTGCAAAGGCAGCCGAGAAATTCTCACTCAATAAAAGACGAATTTTAGTGTCAATCGATCTGGTTGTTTTCTTGTCCAAACATTCTGTCTTCCTTTCCAAATACAACTGAAATTTTTTATGCATACATAAGGACTCGAAGTGTCATATTTTCATCATTTTTCGACCTGAAAATCCCTCCTTTTGAAAGAAAAAATTACTCTAAACTTGTGGCAAGTTCGATTAAAGCCTGATGGTGAGTGCCGCACTTTGAGCCCTTCCCTGTCAATTTTCTGTTGACAACAAAAATCGCCAAACTCATAACCAATCATCACTTGATTTTTTTTTATCTTTTCAACATTCGTCAAAAATCTCGAGGTAAAAATACGTTCTTATTAATTGCTCTTGAAAAAACAATTGACATCTGTCAAACTCTTTCAGTTTTGAAGATTAGAAAAGTTTCCTCAGGGCTTTTTTACCTTTCAAAGGGCAAGCTTCGAAAATGGCCGTAAATTTTTTTATTGCTGTTATAATTTTTACATTGTAAAAAAAGTGAAAACACATAAATAATGGATCATTAAAGTGTGAGTGGAGTTTTGAAATTTTAATTCGTTATTACACTAAACAGTCATCATGTTGAAGGAAAATCAGAGGTTACGGGAAAAGGAGTTGCCACTTAACAAAAGCAAAAAAATCAGAAATTGTGTAAAATACGTCGGTTTCACCTGTTTATAAAATATTAAAAATGCAATTTAAAAAAAATCTTACAAGGGAAGTACTTGAAGTGTGACGCTCAGATTTTGATGAAACTTGGCACAAATTTAGAATAATTTTTTCTAAGATATATGCGGGAATCCTAGCTCGCGCTTTGCAGAAACAACCGAGATTTTTAGATCGAAAGTCGGCGAAATTTTAGGACTTTTTGCCGAATTTCGGCACGAAAAGTTTCATGCCTATTTCAACTGTAAAGGATAATGTTTCTACAAAAAATCAAATTTTTCCGCACGAAACTGCCAAAGTTATGGCCAAAAAACGGTTTTCTCTCTGACCGCTCTCCACGTTTAGCGTGCTCTCTCGGCGGCAAAAATCGTTTGATATCTCGGCGGCGCCCGCAAAGCGCGAGCTAAAACTTTCAGGAATTGATATTTAGTCCATACCCGACGTGTGTGCAAATTTTAAAGAAAATCTGAGCGTCACACTTGAAGTACTTCCCCTGTTAGAAAAATAAATAAAGTTTACTTGTAAAATAATGTAATAATATAAATTGTAATAAATTTTCAGGCCAATCCCTTGCCAAAACCTCCGCGCCCATTCAAATGCGCGGGAGACACGGATCGAGTTTGCGAGACTGGCTTCTGCTACGACGCCTTGGGATTCTATGAGGTAATTATTATTTTTTTTAATTCTTGGAAAAACGTAAATATCAGTCTGTCGGGAAAATAATGAGCGCAGTGTCGCTGTGCCAACTTGCGTCGCTGAAGTTAAAAACAACTTGATTTTTTCGCGACACAATTCATTTTCTCGCCGGCGATGCCATTTTCAACGCGTCGGAGTGCTCATTATTTTCCCGACAGACTGATAACTAAAGAATTTTGAGTTGAAATCGCTGGATTTCTTCTGGAAAAGTCTAATTCTTGCGCACACTTGAGGTCCTCATTTTTTACAAAGATTGAATTTTTACCGACAAAACCGCCAAAAAGCTTTGATTTTTTGCCTTGCCAACAAAAAGATTTCTTCTGTAAGTGTCAAACATGTAAAATCTTTCTGTTTTTATAGGTAATTTTTCTCTCAAAATTGTTTAACTTGCCTTTCTTATTTTCAAAAAAGGTCTAGAACAAAGCAATCAAAGCTAGCGTTTCCTTTTTTTCGCCGTAAACTGAAACTATCTACAAAATCTACATTTCAGGGCGGGAAAAATGTCGGTTGCGCGCCTCCGGACATGTGCCAAAACAATGACTGTTTTATGTACAAAGAAGTCTTTACTTGTTGCTGTAACACGCGGTTCTGCAATGGCAAGACGGACAGCTTGATGTACTCGAAGTATCGGCGATTCCAGGACAACAACAATGTGTGGCCGACCTTCTTCCCGCGACTTCATGTTCGAAATGTTACTACGGGTTGGTTATACACATCTATTATCAATTCGTATTTTACAAATCTCAAAAAATAATTTCTAGTCCCTCAACCAGCCGATGACAACCGAGAAGTCAGGCTGAGTCCCTTGAAGACGACCACTACCTTCCCGGATAAGTCAACAACTTTTGGCACCACGGTGAAGAAGATTGTGCCAGCTGGGCATCCAGAACACACAACAACGACTATTCAAAAGCAAGCTGAAGTTGCCACGACAACACTGAAATCTACTACAGTGAAAAGGATTGAAACGTAAGGATTTTATGATCAAAAAAACTGATTTTAAAATACGCGTTATCTGGTATTTAATGAAAAATTGATTATTCAAGCCAGACAACAATAGATGTACAATACATATACGGAAAAATGGAATAAACTTAAATTTCTGTACAAAAAATTCCAAGAGATCAAAAATAAGTTTGTTTTAGAAGATCTTCGTTGAACGGTGGGCCAAAAAGTCTTTTTCTTTTTTTGAGTTGTCCACTAAAAGAGCCCTCAGGGTAACATTAGCAGGCTCTACGAAGACGTTTCCGATTTTGGTACTTATAAGCCTACAGTTTCTGTAATTTAGACAGTTTTTGAAACTTGAAGATCACTGGAGCTTTTGTATTTTATCTCTTAACATAACCTGTATATCTCTATTAAAAATCACTTTTTTCTGTTTATAAATTCTCACTTTTAGCCAGCCCCCAACAACTACCAAAGCCACTGTTGCTCCGACCACAACTTCCACTTCAACTCAAAAATTAGAAGTTACAACCAAAGCTCAGCCAAAAACAGTTCAACCAGTGGCCGCAGAAGACAGCGACTTTGACGACGACGTTGACGATGAATTCGATCTTCGAACCACTCGCTCAAACAACAATCGTGAGCGCCCAACAACTTCGCCGACCACTACTCGCAAAGCAACCACCAAATCGCGACGTCCCAATACCGTACCCCCTCACCCGACTTTCATCCCGGCCACCGAAGCGCCAGTAATTCCGCCGAAGCAACGGGAAACACATGTTCAACAGGCCTTCCCGTGGTACTATGTCACCATTGTTGGCTTCATAATCGCGTGTGTTTTGTTCGGAATTGTGGTCTACGCGATTCGTTGGTGTAGAGCGAGGAAAGCGGACGCTGATAGACGCCATTCCAACGACTCGGCGCCAAATTCGTCGTTGGATTCGAGCAGAGTCAGCGATCTGGGCCATCTGCAGGCCAATGAGCATGCAAGGGAGCCGGTGGATCCGTTGCTGAGGAAGAATTAGAACTTTTTTGATGATTTTTTAGAAAATCGTTGATTATTAACATGTTGATGTCTTGTATTCTTTTTTAGCGGTCACATAATGTTTTTTGAGGCAAGATCTTTGAGTATTTTTTGGTTTTGCAGTTTCTGAAAGACATTTTAGAGGTTTTTACAAATTGAGATGTTTTCGTGGTGGGACCCATTTTGAGTCATCAAAATTTTAAAAATAAGTATATTTTAGCATGCAAACACATAACACATGTTTTGAAAGCTCAATTTAGATTTTCGAAAACAAAATTGTTTTCGCGGTGGGACCCAGACCAAAATTCAAAATTTTGCTTTTTTTTAAATTTTTGGCCAAATTCCGGCTCTTTAGACTCTCAAGTAATTTAATTAAAATTATCGAGGCCGCTTCTCCACTCATGGCTTCAGAAATTCCAATTCAATAGGTCTAACCTAGTATCTAAAACAAGGTCACAATTGTCATAAAATTACATAAATTGATATAAAGGAGTACTGATTTACTATTCTCCGTCCTTAACTTTACTTTTTACCATCTTTGATGACCCAACCCTTGCATATGTCACCATGTTTTGCAATGTTTTTATCATGAACAATATCCATTCAGATATCTCATCCGCCTGTTTATGCTTAAAATTGTAGAGTTTTCTGTTTTCTGGTCTTTCTTTTTTAGCTAACGATAATGTTTTTTCAGACAATTTTTCTAGTTATTTATCTCAATTTCATCTCCATATTTATCACCGCCCATTTTTTAGACATTATTTTTTATTTTTTTTTTCATAATTTAGACTTTGTTTGTACATTTCATGCAGAAATACACTGGATTATTTTTTCATATTGGAGTAATAAAAGAAACTAACTAATTTTACAAATTTTTCTTTAACTGTTTTACCATGAATCTTACAATGGACGTTTTCTTTTCCGGCGGGGAGAGTACACAAAATGTGGAGTGCGGTCATAGAGAAAATCATCTTTTGGCCGTATCTTTGCCATTTTCGCAAGGAAAAAATTGGTTTTTCTTACATTATACTCGACGGTAGAAATGTATACGTTTTTAAGATTACAAGATTTTTAATGCTAAAATTCGAAAAAAGGTGGCTTATTTTTGACAAATTTCGATATAAAAGTCTCGGTGAATTATGCAGAACGCGAGCTAGGTATCTCGAATATGACTTATTGTTAGGTAAAATTAATTAAAACTTGCGTCAATCAGACCTTCCGTTACTATTTCTATTATAAACGATAATGCTTTCTGGCCGCTCTCCGCATTTAGCACGCTCTCTCAGCCGCAAAGTTCGTTGAATGTCTCGGCTGCTTCTGCAAAGCGCGAGCCAAAACTTTAAGGAATTAATATCGGGCCTATAATACGTTGCGCTGATAAAGAAGTTAGTTTTCCTTAAATTAATTTCCCTTATCAGCGAAAAAGGAATTTTTTTGAGTTAAAAGTTTCCTTTTTTTTGTGGCATGTTTTGATCACCAAATTGTCGTTTAGCACCTCCAAATCTCAGCTATCTCTATGACAGATGTCCCACTTAGTCACCTTTAATTGAGCTATAAATTTCAATGACTTTTCTGATATGATAATTAGGTCTGCTTTTTAATCCGCTTCAATTCTTCGTCCCATCCCAAACCTATCTTTTTTGGACCACATTTTCTTCATCCCAAAATATTTGACAATTCAAGCCTACAATGACAACATCCTCTTCTCTTGGCCATGTCTGCAAATACAAAAAGATCAAACGTGTTATGAAGCGCTTCTCGCCAAAGAATCGAAAAAGAGGGACAAACAAATGGGGGAATATAGACCACGTACGGGATGAGTCAGGGTTTGGAAATCACTGATAAACCGAGAGTTCTATTTCCCCTGCGGCCACTCCTCTCAATTCTCGCAAAAAACACAATTAGAAGGCATTTCCATACATTGGAAGAGAGAGGTTTCAAATTTTTCTTGAGGAATTTTGGGGTTGTTTAACGTTGAACATTATTTTTTGGTATTTCGAGCCTTAAAACCGAGTTAAATTATTGCCTTTTTGAATGTTTTCAGCAGTTTTTTCTTGTCTTTTAAAAAGTTTTGTTTTCATAGCAACCCAAAGAACAGTGTAAAAGAGTATTTTAAAAGAGCATTTGGGTTATTTTGACGTAAAGAGAAAGGAAGAGTAACCGCTGAAAATATTAAATTTCGAAAATATCACAAGATATTGGCTTCAAATTATAAGGGGAACGCTAGGAATGAGACATTTATTTAGATCTTGATAAGTTTTGTGTAAATGTATATTATTGTCTGTTATGTATACATTGTGGGTAATTTTGGCTCGCACTTTTCAAAGCAATCAAGGTTGTTTATCAGAAGTTGCCCTAAATTTTATTTTTTTGTTTATACTTTCTTTGCAACAACTTGGTGTTTTCTTTCTTGCTGATATGTGTCTACGTTCTACAATTACAAAAAAAAAAATGTTTTTTCTTCTAAAAATTCGCAAAGATTCGGGTATTATATCGCTTGCAAAGTTAGTTGAATCTTGGCTCTGTTTTCCATACTCGGACGAAAATGTTGCATCGATATCTCAATCAGTCACCTGACATTTTGGGAGCGTTTCATATATGGCTCGGGACTTCTAAATCTCTCCGCAAGAGTCCATCCGAACCCTGCAAATTTAGTACAAAGTTAAAAGTTGCGCAATCTGACATAACATTGCGCAATTTCTCTCTTTGTAAGAATTTCTGCCTTTCTCTGTCGTCTCCTCCTTTTTTGTCAACTTTTAACTTTGGACTAAATTTCCAGGGTTCGGATGGACTCTTGCGGAGAGATTTAGAAGTCCCGAGCCATATATCGAATTTTCTAGAGATTCTTTCCCTTTTCTAATCTTCGAAAAAAGGCTTGACTATGAACAATGGAACCTCTGTACCACGCCCTCTAGTACAAAAAGCCTGTCTACAGCCAACCACGATTTCGCACTAGACGTGGCTCCCGGGCCGGGCCGAAATTTCGGCCCGTCGGCCGGATTTCAGGTCGGCCGGGCCGGCCGGACCATTCCCGGCCCGAAATAGTTAAAATCCAGAATCTCGAAGCGAAAATTGGGAATGATAATGAAAATAAACGATATGTGAAGACATAATTGGTTTTTTTAAAGGTATTTTTGTTTTTAGATAGCTATGGAACACAGTATTTATCCATTTACATGATGATAAAAAAAATTTGGTCATAAGGAGTTAGACTTGGGGAGACTTTCGTTTTAATGGGCCGGCCCGGGCCGGGCCGAAGCAAATTTAGAACGGGCCGGGCCGGGCCGACGGAAAATTTGAAACGGTCCGGCATGGCCGAAACCCTTCAGGCCGACGGGCCGGGCCGAGATTTTCGGCCCGGGCCGGCCGACGAGCCATGTCTACTTCGCACATACAGGAAATTTGCTTTTTTTTATTGAAAGTCGACAGGAAAGTGCGCTTATAGGGCGATGAAGTTGCAAAATTTGAGGTTTTTTAATCAAAGAATGCCACGTCGCTAGAGACGTAGTGAAACAAAATTTGCATAATCCGAGAAATTGATGACTGCTCTATCACTGTAGCATGTTATTCTCCTTTTGTCTACCCTGGCAAAAGTACAGAGTCATTCCGAATAAAATGGTTTTTTGACACCGGGTTTTGCCCACACAAAAATTTCGGAATGATGTGCGGTGCAAACATCAAAAATCAGTCCACCGACTTTCCGGATGGACTAATACAACTAATCCTTTTATACCAAGCAAATTTTTCGGTCTCTTGCAATTTGAAAAATCAATTTTTTTGCCTTACATTAGCTCTTCTGACTTTTGTTTTATAGTATACCTTTCTTTGTGGGCTGATACTAATCCTAGGCGTTGACAAAAGTATAAGTTTCAAATCCTCGAGCAGTTTTTTTGCGAAATGCCCATCCCTAAAGGCGATCGAAATTGTTGACTAATCAAGGTGCGGTTTTTGGAAAACTTGCCTACAGTTTACCATCCAGATTTTAATGCGAACGTGAACTTGCTTACTCATTCTTCGCTTAATGTTTTATTTCCAGGAAAACCTTTTTTTGCTGTTTATCAGTCAATTGTAATTTAATGGAGTGTAGTGGTAAAAGAAGGAAGACATAAAAAGGTTTAGAATTTGTTTCAGTAGGTTTGAAAAACGTTTTTTACCACCCTTGAAAATTTTAGCTCTTAATTTGCTAGTACTGCCAAATTATTCAACGATCTTTGCTGCCAAGAGAGTACGCAGATTGCGGAGAGCGGTCAGACAAAAGCTTTTTTGCCAATGTCTTTTGGATTGTTTAATAAATTTCTTTTGATACTTTAGAAACATAATGCTAAATTTTCGCAACTCCACATACAAACATCTGTCGAAATCTTTTTTCGACTTTAAAATCTCTTTTTTCTTTTTTCAAAAGGGACTGTGATTTATTCTCAAATTCTGACGAAACTTTTCATAGGTTTAGACTACGTTTTTCGAAGACATAGGTGACATTTTTCAGATGACGATTTGCAGAAAAGAACTGAGAGTTAGTCCGAAACTTACAAGGGAAGGACTCCAAGTGCGACGCTCAGATTTTGGTGAAACTTGGCACAAATTTAGAATAATTTTTTCTAAGATATATGCGAGAATCCTAGCTCGCGCTTTGCAGAAGCAACCGAGATTTTTAGATCGAAAGTCGGCCAAAATTTAGGACTTTTTGTCGAATTTAGGTTCAAAAAGTTTCATGCCTAATTCTACCGCACGCCACGAAAAAAGTGGAAATAGAGAAATTCGCGGGAAAATGTTTTCGACATTTCATACGCTGAAACCGTTACAAATAAATAATAAAAATCTTTGCAAAATTCTAATAAACAACAATTTACGTGTGAAACCGGCGAGAAAGCATCGAAAGGATTCTAGGAGGTGCACCCCGAACTTCTCAGATTGATCGAAGAAGAGAAAAGAAATTATATTGTACTAGGCACAATTGGATCAAAATCGATGAATCTGACCGAATTCGAGCTCTTCCGGGGTTTACAAGACTAACAGGGCTTTGATCTTGCTACAACAGACCACTACTAAATTGAAATTCATCAAATCTTGTTTAATTCCACCTAAACATCAAACCAATAAGAATAATCAAAATTACATAAATTTTTGACAATCCATCGCATTTGTCGGATGCAATCTGAACTCGGAAATCAATCTCCACACCCTTTGGTACATTATGCTGGCTTTCACATTCTACTTCAACATGGACCGGCTGAAATATCAATTATATTATTTTAGGTATAACCAGAGAAAATTATTAGCTCAACGGCCTAGAAAAACCGAAAAATCAAAAAGACAACGTCACAAACTTACCTTGAAATGTTCTGAACGTCGTCTGCTTCCTCTGATCCAGCTTTGCTCACGCCTTCTCTTCGCGTTTCTCCATCAGTTCCTGCAAAATGATGCAATAATCTATTGACAAGTGCCCTTTTGCTATTGTCAAATTTCCAGATTTCTTCTTCATAACGTCCGCTAGGATGTCTCACACAACACCACATATCGATGGATCTCTAAACATAAGGACCAAAGAGAAATCTTACTGTTTCTGGAGACACATCAACCGGTGGAGAATCAGATTTTGCGTCAGAGCGCGATGGGCCGGCCTCCGTGGACCCATCCATTATATTCAACACTTGGAACTGACAACAACGTAATTTTTGACATACTATTCATCACCAAATTATTCCAAATCTCAGAGTTACAATACTATCTAACACAATATTCATTCTTTCAAAAAAAATTAAAAATATTGGGCGCAGCTCGAAATCTCTATTTCCAATTTTACCTTACGTTTTTCGTGGCGTGCTACCGTAAAGGATAATGCTTCTAGAAAAAATCAAATTTTTAGGCACGAAACTGCCAAAGTTATGGCCAAAAATCGTTTTTCTCTCTGACCGCTCTCCACGTTTAGCGTGCTCTCTCGGCGGCAAAAATCGCTCGATATCTCGGCGGCGCCCGGAAAGCGCGAGCTAAAACTTTCAGGAATTGATATTTAGTCCATACCCGACGCGTGCGCAAAATTTAAAGAAAATCTGAGCGTCGCACTTGGAGTACTTCCCCCGTTAGCTAAAATTTGATTCTTTTTTGCGATTTTTTGCGTGAAATTTTTCTGCATATTTATTTTACATGTAGACAAAAATCGTTGAGTTTCTTGGCTTCATCTACTGTAAAGCGACGGCTGATAAGGCATAATCTGCACTTCGCTTGAATCATCTTTTCGCAATTAATAAATATTTTATCTATGTTAAATTTGTTTCATGTTAAACCACAATCACTTCGACGACGCCTATCCCCATTTTCCGACCTCGTTGCCTATCCTCTTGCATTCTTTTGCGTTATACTTTGGAATTTATAATTTTCTGATAACACTCTTCTAATCGAATCTTTCATAACTTCAAAAAATCTCTTTTTCAGAATTGCCCCCAAATGTCGACTGGTGCCCAATTATGGGCATTGGCCGCGAAGGACTTGCGGATAACGGCGCGGAGTAAGAAACGATGCTGTTGCGAGATCCTGGTGCCTTGTTTTGTGTTGCCAATCATAATTGGAGGGTTAATTGCGTCACAGAACTTTGATAAGCTCATTCAACCGAATTCAGTTACATTGGATTTGTCGTTGGATGGGCTGGATCAAGTGGAAGTGAAGTAAGTGTAAAGAGACACAATCGATTTTTTGTGAAAAATAGTAAAGCATGAGGCATTAAAAAGCCCTTTATTATGGCTTTGAACACTTTTTGGGTGCGAATTTACCGAGTTGGGCACAAAAACGGAATGCCAAAATTGGCGGGAGTTTTGAAGTTGGAAATTAAAAAATTTTTGCTGTAAAAAGTGTTTCACAAAGTTTATAATGAAATTAAAACACGATTTCTGAGTCAGTGAATCAGCCGCCAGTTAGGCCTGGACATAGGAAAAAATCGATTTCGAGTTTTTGATTTTAAAATGACCGCAGGCATCCAGTAAACATATTCCTGAAATATTTTTGCCTAATTCTCTCAGTAACCTACTGTAATTTACAATTTAATGTTTTTACAGTAATCAACCATTACTGGACAACTAAGCATCGGAATCGGCTGAAATTGAGAATACTGATGTTTTCGAGCATGCTCGTCATAATAGACACAGAATTTCGGCATACAGGTTACTGTAACATACCGCAATATAGGTTCGGCCGCACAAAATCGGCCATAAAAAATTTGTTTCTGAAAACCCGCAGCTGATTTTTACATATGTTGATCAGCGTAAAATTCTGCCCTAGAAACATTTAAAAAAAATTTAAAAAATCATGCCCCGATTTTCGTGGTGTAGTGGATTTTGGCCGAGTTTAGTAATCCGAAGGTCGCGGGTTCGATCCCCGTGGAACAAAAATCTGTAAAACCCCACAAAACTTCAAAAAATCGTGTCGAGGGGAATTGCTAATATACATGCAGAGTGCCAAAATCTGTATCATGGGTTATTCGCAAATTACAAGGCGTTTTTCGGAGTTAAAATTATTATTCTGGTCTTCGTGGATTCTGGCCCAAATTTAGTTAAGAAAAATGGCTAAAAATTATAGTATATACGTTTTCTTGCCTTCTGAGTTCAATGGACCCATTTTTCGACCCTAGGATTACTGTAACATGGCGAAAACGGATTTCGGCCGCGAAAATCGGCCGTAAAACCGTTCATTGCGAGTATACGCAGCTAATTCTTCGATTTTTCGAATCAGCATGAAATTCCACACTAGCGGCACTCAAAGTTGGCTTTCTCCGTTAAACACTTTTTTCAATATGGTGAATTACTTTCAAATTTGAAAATTGTAAATAAAACTACATTAGTTCTTGATTAAGCCAAAAATACTTCAAATCTGAATTTAAACGATGGATCCACACATTTATAGTCCAAAAACCCATTTCAACCAAAAAATTTGTATGTAATATTCAGCGCAAAATTTCTGCAAAGTTAAAATGGTCAGCTAAGACATATTATATAATGATTCTGGGGCAAAATTTCACGCTGATTCGAAAAATCGAAGAATTAGCTGCGTATACTCGCAATGAACGGTTTTACGGCCGATTTTCGCGGCCGAAATCCGTTTTCGCCATGTTACAGTAATCCTAGGGTCGAAAAATTGGGTCCATTGAACTCAGAAGGCAAGAAAACGTATATACTATAATTTTTAGCCATTTTTCTTAACTAAATTTGGGCCAGAATCCACGAAGACCAAAATAATAATTTTAACTCCGAAAAATGCCTTGTAATTTGCGAATAACCCATGATACAGATTTTGGCACTCTGCATGTATATTAGCAATTCCCCTCGACACGATTTTTTGAAGTTTTGTGGGGTTTTACAGATTTTTGTTCCACGGGGATCGAACCCGCGACCTTCGGATTACTAAACTTGGCCAAAATCCACTACACCACGAAAATCGGGGCATGACTTTTTAAACTTTTTTTAAATGTTTCTAGGGCAGAATTTTACGCTGATCAACATATGTAAAAATCAGCTGCGGGTTTTCAGAAACAAATTTTTTATGGCCGATTTTGTGCGGCCGAACCTATATTGCGGTATGTTACAGTAACCTGTATGTCGAAATTCTGTGTCTATTATGACGAGCATGCTCGGAAACATCAGTATTCTCCATTTCAGCCGATTCCGATGCTTAATTGTCTAGTAATGGTCGATTACTGTAAAAACATTAAATTGTAAATTACAGTAGGTTAATGAGAAAATTAGGCAAAAATATTTCAGGAATATGTTTACTGGATGCCTGCGGTCATTTTAAAATCAAAAACTCAAAATCGATTTTTTCCTATGTCCACGGCTGATTCAGTGACTCAGAAATCGTGTTTTAAATTTTTTTTATTAGTGTTACAAAATTTTTTAGGGCATGAAACAGAATGCCAAAATTAGCGGGAAGTTTTGAATTTTCGAAAAATTTTTTTTTGAATCAAAATTGTAGTGTTTTGAGGCGCTTTACAACAATAATTCAGTTTTTCTATGTTATTGACGATAATCTCAACCCTTAAAACAGAATGCCAAAATTGGCGCAGTTTTGTAATTTGAAAATTTTTCATTCTGCTTGGCAAAAATCGCGTCTTACAAGTCTTGATTTTAGTATTTTACATTTTTCAGCCACCTAAATGACAGCGATTTTCAACTCCTCCAAGAGGCGGCCAACCAATTGGGGCTGCATTTCAAAGACCGGCCATATCCGGAGAACGACCATTCCGAAGCCATTCATTTCGAAAAGTTCTCCATCGACAAAAAAGAATTTGTCTATTATTTCACGGAGAATCGGCCACACAGCAGTTTCTCGTACATAAATTATAACTTTGCTACCGGCTGGATGGCCAACAACCCGTTTGAGTCGGATATTCTGAATGATTTGACGAATGTAACAAGATACCTCGAGCATATCTATTTACGAAGGCAGATGACCATTGACAAGATTTTGATGATCGCGTCAAAGATGCAATTTCCTGCGGAATTCAGCAAAGTGAGTTTTGTAAAATACGGTTTTTATAAATGCGTCTTTTAGAGATCTACTTTAAAGATATTTCTAATATTTTTGTAGCTGATATCATCGCATATCCCTCAGCACTCCTACAACTTCTCTGTTCTGGCATTCCTTTTGCCCTACTTATTTGTGGGCCTTGTCCTTTGCTCCCTCATTCCAATGGCCATGGTGATCAAAGACTTGATTGCAGAGACGGAAAGTGAAATCAAAGTGAGTAAACTGTAATCGGATGTATATATTTTCTGTGGAAATTTTCAGACCTACCTTCTCGTCATGGGAATGGGCCGGTTCAGTTTCTACATCTCCCATTATCTCTTTGGCCTAATAAAAATGCTGATCATCATGTTCATCATTGTCCTGCCATTAGCTATCGGTCTGAAAGTAAGTTTCAACTACATGGCCTTCACTTCTACATATAAAACTTATATATGGCTCGGGACTTCTAAATCTCTCCGCAAGAGTCCATCCGAACCCTGGAAATTTAGTCCAAAGTTAAAAGTTGACAAAAAAGGAGGAGACGACAGAGAAAGGCAGAAATTCTTACAAAGAGAGAGATTGCGCAATGTTATGTCAGATTGCGCAACTTTTAACTTTGTACTAAATTTGCAGGGTTCGGATGGACTCTTGCGGAGAGATTTAGAAGTCCCGAGCCATATATCTATATAGCCATCGTCTACAAAAAACATCATTTTCAGCCAGTTCTCGGGATCATCCTTGTCTTTCTCACCTTTATTTATGTGACTGTTTGCGTGGCATTTGCACTTCTTTGCGGAACAGTTTTCCACCGGCCAGCCTTAGCTATTACTGTCAATTTGTTGGCCTGGATTGGCTCGGCCGCTTTGGCATTCGTCTTGGCCACAAACACTCTGGAAGTTGGACTCATGTGCGTCTACTCGCTGAATCCGTTAAGCGCGTTGAAAATGGCCATCAACGACTTGGAGATGTTCCAGAGATACGGTAGGAGAAATGATGACTATTGTTTATATCTTGGTATCTTTTCAGACACGCCAGTAACTGTCTTTGAGCGTTTCACATATCAATATACCTTCCTTCACGGAGCCATCTTCTTGTTTGTGGATGCAATACTTATTATTGTTGTGACTCAAATCCTTGATCTTATCCTTCCATCTGCTGGATATCCGGGGGTCGATTTCTTATCCATCTTCAAGCAGGCTAAGAATAGAAGAAAGCGAGTTGGCGATTTCAAGCATGAAGAGTCTTTGAAGCTACAAGATGGGGATTTTGAGCCAGTCAGTCAGAAGACCAGCACTCCCGATGTTGAAGTAGGTTTGGAGATGATTTTGGATCGATTTTTATTTTCTTAGCCATCGTTTCAAGCGCTTTCGTCGCTGAAATAGTTACAAAAAAAGATAAATGCTATAGTCTACATGAAAAACTTCTTTTAGGTCATAAATCTTCGAAAACGCTGGGGTTACGGCGATTACGCGGTAAACGGGACTAGTTTCCAAGCATTCCGCGGCGATATCACCGCTCTTCTCGGCCACAACGGAGCAGGAAAGTCGACTACATTCAGCTGTCTCACAGGTTACACCTCTCCAACATCCGGCGATGTAAAAGTAAGTCGATTCTTGGTGGGTTTTATATTGCCATTGACATCAATGTCATGTGCAATATAAAACTTATATAATTAATAGGGAAATGTACCGGTAACATCAAATATGATGCAATTCTAGGTGTGTGGGATGCTGATCGACGACGATCTAAGCGAAATTCGAAAGAACATTGGCTACTGCCCTCAGGGCAACCCGTTGTTTGATCGCCTCAGTTGCTTGGAACATCTGAGATTGGCCGCAAAATTGAGAGGTTCTTATCATGGCGATGAAGATTGTCGTCACGTGCTACAGCAAGTGGGACTTGGCGATGCTGAAAGTGTGGTAAGGGTGGACAATTTTCCTCTTTTTTGCTCATTTTTGGAAACCTTTAGAAAAATCATTTTTGATGTCAAGTATAATATAAAAAATGACTATACAATATTTTTAGCTAGCTGAAGAGTTGAGTGGCGGTATGAAACGAAAATTGTGTGTTGCTATGGCGTTGGTGGGAAAGAGTCAAGTCGTTTTGTTGGACGAACCGACTGCTGGAATGGATCCAACCGCTCGAAGGCAGATCGGAGATATCTTGGAGAAATTCAAGCATGAAAGGTAGGGATTTTACATCGCTAATGAATTAATAATATTATAATTACCTTAGCGGTAAATATGGTATGAATTTTTGATTGAATAAGTGGTTTGAAAGTTCCGAAAATTTGAATTTTTTCAATTTTGGCATTCTGTTTTAGATCCTCAAAAAAAACATTTTGAAATGTAAATTGATAGAAAAAACACTTGTAAAATACGCTGCGGACAAATGTAAATTTCTTTTTTTCATTTTGGCAAAAAAGTTTCAAAATTCAAATTTCCCGCCTTTTTTTGGCATTCTGTCTCAGGACTCCGAAATGCTCAAGAATCAAAAATCAAGTGTCTAAAAGTGTTTTAAAATACGTTTTTTCTCTTCCAGAACGATTATTTTGACCACCCACTACATGGACGAAGCGGACATGCTCTCAGATCGGATATTAATCATGGTCAAAGGGAAGGTCACCTGCGCCGGCTCCTCCACATTCCTCAAAAACCGCTTTGGCACCGGCTTCTTGCTCACAATCACTCTCCGACAAGGGGTGGAGCCGATCGCCGGAGCCAATCAGGTCCTCGAGCTGGTCCGCCGAACAATTCCCACCGCCAAAATGGACGGAAGCCCGGCGGCGCAATTTACGCTGAATTTACCGTACGAAAGCAAAGCGCGCTTTGTGGAATTATTCGCATTCTTGGAGAAGGAGCGAAACAATTTGGGAATAGACTCTTTTGGGCTGTCAGTGAATACTTTGGAGCAAGTTTTCATCAAAGTTGGGGAGAAGGCGGAGAAGAGCAGTAGTCGACAATTGGCCGAGAAAATTGCGGAGAATGCGTTGAAAGTGGAACGACAGGATTGTAAGGATCGATTTTTGTTTACATTTCTTGGGGACTGAGACCAAATTTGACCGGTCAGATATTGAAAAAGTGACCGGGGAAACGACTAGTTTAACTGGTTCAAAAAATCGTCAAATTCAAAAAAAAATTTTTTTTGATCGAAACTGAAATTCGACAGGTCAAATAACCAAATTAATTGGTCAAATTGCCATTTAGATGGGTTGAAAAATTTGAAAAATCAGATAGACTTGAAAAAAAATTACTTTTTTTTACCGTCAAATTGAAAAAATGACCCGTCAACTTGCCCAATATAACCGGTCAGATTGGTCATCTTGCCCAATACGACCAGTCAGATTGGTCATCTTGTCCAATCAAATTTACTTGACTATAATTCTCTTTTTATTCAGTCCATCGACACCCGAATTTTTTCAAACAATCAATTGCCCTAATGTGGAGAAATTACTTGTACATGTATCGGCACTTGCTCAGATCGATCGTCCCATTCTTTGTTTGTCTGGTGTGCTTCCTCTTTTTGTATATTAAACAAAAAGATGAGCCAAAAAGTGCCGTCAATTTTGACACTCAAGGTAAGGAGCTTTGGGATTTTCTGTTTTTTTTTTAGTTTTACAGGGGAAGTACCCCAAGTGTGACTCTCAGATTTTCTTAAAATTTTGCACACATATCGGGAATAGATTAAATATCAATTCCTGAAAGTGTTGGCTCGCGCTTTGCAGGCGCCGCCGAGATATTAAACGATTTTTGCCGCCGAGAGAGTACGCAAAACATGGAAAGCGGTCAGAGAGAAAAACACTTTTTGGCCATAACTTCGGTAGTTTCGCGCGGAAAAAATTGATTTTTTGTGGAAATATTACCCTTTACGGCCGAAATAGGTATAAAATTTTCGTGCCAAATTTCGGCAAAAATTGTCAAATTTTCGCCAACTTTCGACCTAAAAATCTCGGTGGTTTCTGCAAAGCGCGAGCTAGGATTCTCGCACAAGCCTTAGAAAAAAATATTGTAAATTTGTCACAAGCTTCATCAAAATCTGAGCGTCGCATTTGGAGTACTTCCCCTGTTAGATTTAAAAATTTTTTTCAATTTTTTTTACAATTAAAAATTTTTTTTTATTTTTTAAAAATTGTAAAAATAAGTTTAAATCGAAATTTTTGAAAAAATAAAATAATTTTTTTTACAAAATAATGCTAAAAAATATCAAAACATTTCAGAAAAAGTCGTTCTCCAAACCTTGGAATCCATCCCGCATTCGCATCTCCTCTCTTCCGCCAAATATTTCGACAGTATCAGCAAACTGGCCAAGGAGAAAATTGAGCAATGTTCGGTGGACAGGATGGAATATGACGCCGAGAAACTGAAATCACAGCAATTTAGAATCCCTCCGAATGCGTTGGGAATTTTCGAACAGGGCTCGACATTGTACTTGATGGGAAGCCCATTTCTGCACAATAGTTTGATGTTGGCCATCAATTTATTCAGCAATTTGGTGTTCGGAAATGGAAAGGATAGTAAGTTAAAAAAAATTTTATTTTTTTTTTATTTTTTGGGAAATCTAAAAAATGAAAAAATCGATTTTTTTATTTTTTTTATTTTTTTGGGAAATTTAAAAAAATGAAAAAATTGATTTTTTTAATTTTTTTTTATTTTTTTTTCTTTGGAAGTTTTAAAAATGAAAAAATTGATTTTTTTAATGTTTTTTTATTTTTTTGGAAATTTAAAAATGAAAAAATTGATTTTTTTAATTTTTTTTAATTAAAAAAAAATTATTTTTTTTTGCATTTTAATAAAAAAATTTAATTTTTCTCTTATTTTTAGCTAATATCCAAGTCGGATTTATGGGAAATTCGACCGATTTTTCGTTCAACATCGGAATCTTCTTCAACGGAGTTATGAACAGCGTCTTCAATGCATTCGGATTGACGTTTGGTTTGGCCATGTTGCTCTCTACTATTATTAGTGAAAGAAAGAAGAAGTTCAAACATCAGGTAAGAGAATTTTGAATTTCTTTTGGACAAAAATTGAAAAAAAAGTATTTTTGACTTTTTTGATTTATTTTTTTTTGTGTGTTAAAATAAAATATTTGTCGTAAAAAATGCTTAAAATCAGTTTTTTGTGGTGATTTATTAAATTATTTTTTGAATTCCCGCCATTTAAGAAAATCTTGGCATTCTGTTCTAAGGTTTGGAAATGCCCATAAATGGGGCAAAAGTAGATAAAAAATAACTTTGAAGGCTTGATAAGACATACTCTCCCATTTGGCCCATGGATTACTCTTTTTTTACATGAATTTTCACAATTTTTATCTTTGTCATGATTAATATACCAAAATTTCGTTTTGGTATCTACATCAATATAAGTGATGTCAAAGCACTTGATAAGACTTTTAAATCACCAAAAGTTCCATTTTACTTTTTTTCAAATTCCAAAAATTTTTTATTTCAGCTTTACTTGGCGTCAGCTCGACCTTATACCTACTGGATTTCCCAATTCCTCACCGATCTCTCCTACTTCGCAGTCTTGGCCATTTTCGTTTTCGGCCTGAGTTTCTGGGCCTCTGAGCCCAACTTTGCATGCACTTTGGGAATCGTCCCGATTTGGATCTTGTACTTTACGGCCAGCTCTTTGGCCAGCTACGTGATGAGTTTCGCATTCGAATCACCGACGAAAGGAACCGTTTTTATCTTGGCATTCCACACGATCATTCCGATGGTCTTATTTATTGCGTTTTCGATCGCAGTGGGAGTTATTTCATTCGTTTTGAAACAAGATCCGAGCGATTATTTTCAGTTTGGACTGGTAAGTGAAAAAATAAAAAAATTTTATTTCCAAGCCTAAAGTGGTGATAAATATCAGCAACCTTGTACCTATAATATTTTATAGTTCTTCCTCGACATCCTCTTCCCCGCCGTTGGGCTTTTCCGCTCTCAAAACACTTGCACCATTGAATGCGACAAGTCCAAAAAAGGCACCGACTTCGCTACCATCTACAACAGCAGGGACCTGTTCACACCGTCGAAGGAAAAAGATTTCTGGTCAATTGCGCCGAAGGTTTCGCTGGTTGCGCTCGGTTTGAGCATCCTATTTTACTTGGCTTGGCTGATTTTGATTGAAAGCAAAGTCATCGGAAGAATCGTGCATAAACTGCACATCAAAAAGTTTGTCAGTGTAAGTTTATTTTTTTCAAATATGCAAACACCCTAAAAAAGAAATCTAAAATGTTCTGAAACTAAGAATTCTTTTTGAAATTTCATTTTCCCGCCAATTTTTTAAATCATGGCATTCTGTTGCAAGGTCTGATTCTAGCTTACAGTTTTAAGTAGTCACGTTAAAACATGGGTAAACAAAAATGGTGTTGGTTTGACCGAAAAAACGGAAAATTTTAACTTCCCGCCAAATTTATTCAAATTTTGGCATTCTGTTGCAATCGCTCAAAATGATCAATAATGCAAGATTTAGAAGTCATACAGCCTTAAACGTCAAAATCCCAAACCATTTTGTCGGTGTTACTCTTTAAAATTTTAAATTTCGCGCCAATTTTGAAAATCTTGGCATTATGTTGCAATCGCCAAAAACCTTCCATAAAGCAAGGTCTAATAGTCCTAAGGGTATGTAAGCCTGATAAATCAATTTCTCGCTGTTTTGGCGTTGTGATTTATTTTAAATTTCAAATTTCCCGCTAATTTTGAAAATCTTGGCATTTTGTTGCAGCTAATCAAATTTTTTATATATCCATTTATAAACTAAATTTTTGCATTTCAGTACCTTCGCCGACCATTGGACGAAGATTACGATGTTGCGCAAGAACGTGAGAGAGTATCCGCCTTGGGGGATTATCAACAATCTTTGGCCGTCCGAAGCCTCTTCAAATTTTATTCCGAATCCAAATGCGCCGTTCAAGATCTCACCTTTGGGATGGCACCCAACGAGTGTTTTGGACTTTTGGGTAGGACTTCTTTTTAAATTTTTTAAAATTAAAACTAAAAAAAATGTTTTATTTTTCAGGAGTAAATGGTGCCGGTAAAACAACAACATTCGACATGCTGACCAATCAAATCTATCCCTCCAGCGGAACAGCGACAATTCTCGGAATTCCCATTCAACAGACCCCTCCTATCGGGTATTGCCCTCAATTTGATGCGCTTTCTGGAAGTTTAACCGGCCGCGAAACTTTGCAACTGCTCGGTAGACTGAACGGATTCGAAAATGTGGATGAGCGAGTCAGATTGGTGTTGGAATGCGTGATGATGGAGGAAAAGGCGGATAAATTGGTCAAAACTTACAGGTAAGGTGGAATAAGCTATAAATAATTTGAGGGTAAAATACGTTGACCATTGATAGTCATACATTCATATCATTGTCGAAGAAAATTTGCAATCGGTTCAAACTGTCGGTCATAGATAGGTTTCAACGTATTTATGTTTGAAACAATCCACCAAAAACGTTGTTTTGCGCAGTGGAGCGTCTTGACCTCTAGTATAACAAAACCTGACTATAACGAACAAATTCAGAAGGCTGATTCAGCTGATTATAAAGCCAAAACAACCCTCCGTAAGACACTTCTAGAACAAATGAAGCGTTGGTTCTTTAATATTCTTTGTACGCATCTAGGTTTGACTGTACTTTTATTGCAACTTGTTATACTTGTTTTATCCCACAAGTCATAACATACATAGTCTATGAAAGGATGGACTCTTAGAACTTATTTCTACATATTTCTATACAGCTTATGTTGTTTTAGCGGCGGTCAAAAGCGTCGTATTTCGATTGCCTGCTGTCTCATGTCCGGCTCCAAATTCCTCGTTCTGGACGAGCCCACTGCTGGTGTTGATCCCGCCACTCGTCGCCACATTTGGGACCTTCTGATCGCAATGAGAAACCAGAACAAAGCAATTCTTCTCACCACCCACTCCATGGAAGAGTGTGAAGCACTTTGCACGAGAATCGGCTTTCTTCGAGCCGGAAGGCTGCGAGGAATCGGCAGCTCGCAACATCTCAAGTCCCGCTATGGCAACTCGTACATCTTGACGTTGATCTTGAACGATCCCGGCCAAGCGAACGCCGCTTTCGTGGATGATGCGGTCCGAAAAATGTTCGACGTTGCGGCGACGGACTCATCGCCCGAACACAGCGCGCTCTCGTGGACGTTGCCCAAGAAAGCGGGCTCTTATTGGAGTCAAATGTATGGAGATGTGGAGCGATTTGTGAACGAGGTCAACCGACAAGCCGGAGTTCAGTTGATCGGCGATTTCTACTTGATTCAAGACTCTTTGGAACAGGTGTTTACGAGGTTAGCAACGTTGGAGGAGAGTCAAGTGGAACAGCCGGCGGCAATAGTAAGTTGAGGGGTTTTTTACAATCTTCGAAGATAGAAGATCTTCTATATAAAGTTGTTTGTCTCGTCCCATGTCTTCAGAAAATTCTGTTCTCATGAGTAAAAGTCGAGGAACTTATTATAATACTTACAAAGCTTTATGTGTTTAGAAATTGTGGCACAATGACACCCGTTTAAGACGTGCCAGTGGTATAACCAACCGCTGCAGTGACGGCTTCATCCAATGGAAAAAAACGTACCATTTTGCATTCGGGAAATATCAAAAAACATAGCAAAATGCCTCCCTTTAGAAATAAAAAAAAATCTGTCTTGAAGCCGCGCTTTTGGAATTGGAGTTTTTTTTTCATTTTGAGAGGGATGTATTTTGCTACATTTTTTGATACTTCCCGGACGCAAAATGGTGCTTTTTCGCCACTGTATGTATGGCTAGGAATACTCTCCAAAGAACCTCGAGAAATCTCCTAGCCTTATACGCGGTGTTCCGGAAAATATGCCGGAATGTTTTGCCAATTTCTTGGCACTCCGTGAAGACATCCAAAAAATCCTTTTGCAGAATATAGAAGAAGATGGGTGGTTTTTTGCCCAAAAGAATCCCTTCCTCCGCCAACGCAGAAAGTAATCTATTCGAGAGAGTTTTGACCGGTTTTTTGGTCATCACACCAGTTTTGTAGTGATTGCCGAAGTGTCCAATGTATCCGAGTGTATATGTATATGTATGTTGTGAAAGTCCGGTAAATGTTCGCTGATGGCTGTATTATGTTTCTACTTTGCTTTTGTATATGTTACATCTGTTTTAAGAACTTTCTGATAGTGTTCTTTTTGTCATCATTTCCTTTGTGCTGACTGCCAACCTTTCTCGAAGTGGTAGAGCATAAAACGGCAAATATGAGTATGGTTTTCGACACGGATTTTGTTAACTAAATAAAGAAGATCACTATAATGAAAAAAATTAACAAAACGCAAATTTTAACTAACAAAAACCGCGCCAATAAATCCGCCGGATAATTATGCATCAACCTAATACGTATTTTAAAAATTTCAGCTCTGTATTTCAATTTTCCGCCATTTTCATTAATTTTCTCTGTCCTACAATCTTCCAAACATGGTCTTATATATTTTTATTTTCAGTTCCCACCTCCCCCTCCGTACAACCAAGCAGCGAACGGAGCGCCCCTCGCCTCCGCTCCGGATCCCTGGGCATTGGAGCAGCCACAACGGCCGGCTCAAGACTCTCTGCATTTCTAAATCACTTCATGAAACGTTATGAAATATACACATATCATATATATAATACAACGTGTACTCCATAAATGCCAGAACATATCATTTCGGTGGAATAAATTTTGTTTCGTTTTCTTTGATTGGAACTCTTTTTGTCAAATTCCACGGCCTTACGAGTCATGTCTTCCGCAAGCAGTGATTCATGATATAACGTTATTCTTCTGCATTACTTTGCGAATTTCGCAAATTTGAGCAGCTCGATTTTCATTTCAAAAAGTGATGCCCATTTTAGGGAATGATGGTTCATAAGGGATGTACCTCAAGTGCGACGCTCAGATTTTTTTTATGTTTTGCGCACATGTCGGGCATAGACTAAATATCAATTCCTAAAAATCTTAGTTCTCGCTTTGCAAACGTCATGACACGTCACCCAGTTATTGAACGATCTTTGCCACCGAGAGAGTACGCTAAACGCCGAGAGCCGTCAGAGAGAAAAACACTTTTTGGCCATAACTTAGCCCGTTTCGTGCAGAAAAAATTGATTTTTTACGGAAATATACCCTTCTGTGGTAAAAAAAGGCATTAAGCTTTTTGCGACAAAATTCGCCAAAAATTCGGGAGATTTTCGCCGACTTCCGATCTAAAAATTTCGGTTGTTTTTGCAAAGCGCGAGCTAGGATTCTTGCATCTAAATTAGAAAAAAATTTTCTTAGTCTTTTCACGACTTCGCGTGCGAAATTGCATATTCCCACGGAATGACCGACAAATTGGCATAAAAGGAAGAGAAATCGCCAATTATTAGGATTTATTTTGTGTCTGTTCTTTCCCGGTTGTGTTGTATTCAATAAACCGTCATATTTCCTACTGCCTATTATTGATTGGTCTATGGCCAGCTCTTGTGAAGTTGGTTCCTCAAGTATTGTGAGTTCAGTTGTGAAGTTGTTGCCTAGGGCATAGTTAGTTGCATTGTCGCTTGTTTGTATATTTGTTGTTGTTGTATTCGCATAGGGCTTGGGATCTTAGGTAGAACTAGATTAGGGACCCTTATTACTTGACCCAAGGTCTTGACAGTCTGTGCCAAGTTTCATCAAAATCTGAGCGCCGAATTTGGTGTACTCCACAATTTTTTGCGCGCGACAAAAAGCTTTGTTATAGAGAGGCTTATTTGGCCCAGGAATTGCCCCTCTTTCTATAAAAATTGTCTGTAGCAGAAACCCTTTTTTTAAAACAAGTCTTTGTCTTATACATAGCATGGAGTAAGACATACTATACGGCAAACATTGCCGATCTAAAGCCATGCGCCCCTAGAATAGGAAATGAAAAGAAAACCTCTTTTTTTAGGTCTTACGTGCCCGAAGAATAATCATATTTTTTTATGTTTTTTGGCCGAAAACACGCTTTGATTCGCCACAGTTTACATTTATTCACGTTTTTGATTATGATTACTATATGTATTTTGATTTACAGTGTCCTCAGACAGTCGCAAAGAGCTTCGTTTTGGCTATTACGCCGGACTCTTTGATCCATTGTGCAGTGTTGTGCATTACATAATATAAATTTTGTATAGATCCATTGTTTCTTTTTGTAAAAGAAGCAGACGGTGTTTTTGGCCGGAGGTTCAAATATATACAGCGTCTGGAAACATTGACCAGAAATTTTCTCATTTTGTTAATTTTTTTATGTACAAAATTTTCGTATGCGTAATATCAGTCTGTCGGGAAAATAATGAGCACAAATTATTTCGCTGCGTCAATCGCGCCGCTAAAGTTGAAAATTTCTGATTTTGTCGCGACACAATTCATTTTCTCGGCGGCGTTTTGATTTTTGACGCAACAGAGTGCACATTATTTTCCCGACAGACCGATATTCTTGCAATTTTATGTTGAGAAGGTATTATTTTTAGGATTTAGATGCCTTCAGGGCCTTTTTAATTTAAATTTTTTTGTACATTCCCTTATAATGGAATTCGTTTTTAATCAAACATCCTTTTCAGCCATGTCCACACTCGGACAGCTCAAAGCCTTGGCCATAAAGGACCTCCAAGTGTCCAAGCGCAGTAAAAAGCGGCTGTGTTGCGAGCTATTGGTCCCGTTATTCGTGCTGCCGATGATTATTATGGCCGCAAAGTTATCCGACAAGTATGTTCAGGCAATTGTCCCGGTTAGTCCGGAGACCTGCGTTTTGGAGGTGAATACAACAACTGAGTTCAACATTGAGTAAGTTTTCATTGACTTCAATGTATACTAACAGGGGATGTACCACAAAAATAAGTTTGTTATAGAAGGGTTTCGTTGTATAAAGGTTCATTTTAGCTTACTGGGAGTACCCCAAGTGCGACGCTCAGATTTTGATGAAACTTGGCGCAAATTAAGAAGAATTTTTATAAAGATATATGCGAGAATCCTAGCTCGCGCTATGCAGAAACAACTTAAATTTTTAGAACCAAAATTGGGAAAAAAAGACATTTTTTTGCAATTTTCGACACAAAAATTGTCATGCCTATTTCTACCATAGAGGGTAATGTTTCCACAAAAAATTAATTTTTTCGCATGAAACTTGCAAAGTTATGGTCAAAAGCATTTTTTTCTCTCTGACCGCCCTCCGCGTTTAGCGTACTCTCTCGGCGCCAAAGACCGTTCAATAACTGGGTGGCGCTTGCAAAGCGCGAGCTAAAATTTTCGGCACTTTCGGTACTTCCCTTGTAACCCAATTTTTCTAGGAATTTAAACCCCGCGGATTACGCTGAGTTCTCGAATGCTGCGAAATCGCTCAACGTAAAACTTGTCGACTCCTCGCCGGATCGCATATTTTTCAACAAATTTGACAGAGCTTCCAAGAAGTTTGAGTATTACATCGGCATTGGAGGTCACACTGCGGGTCGGGTCAAGTTTTTTTCATGGGGTGGTCAAGTCTTTCCCCCTAATGTTATTTTTTCCCCGAAATTCAGACTGTTATGTCGGAGGTTAATCAAGGTAAATCTGGTCAGTTCTTGTTGATTATTTCAAGAACAAGTCTTATTCTATTTTTAGAAATCAAATTTGATTGAATTACGGTGTGGGTTTGCCTCAATTTTTAGCATTCTTTGGGGGTAGGTATTCTATACCTAGATGATCAATTGTGAGACAGTTTCAAGTCGGATTTACAATTTCGTCTCCATTTCACCTTCGGACGTACGCCCTCTGTCTCATAAAAGTAAGTATTTGTTATTCTGGTTGTACATTTTTTAGCTTTCAAAGATTTTGTATATTCTAGGTTATTCAGAAAATTTTGTGTGGGATTTGGCAGGGTTTTCCTCAAAATGACGTCCAAAATATTAATTTTACTGTCCTAACCGCGTTTTCCATTTCCAGAAGTCTTCACAGATGTGTTCCAGGTACCATACATTACGGGGACCATGTATAACATCCGCCTGAAAAAATGCTAGATTGGTTTCAAACACATTTGTTCTTTATTTGATAAGTCTTCACAAGTATTTTCCTTCATTTTTATGAACATTTCGCATAGTTTGGGCGTTGAATTTCATCTCTACCTAAAATCTGCATCAAGTTTGGTCATGAAGAAAAAGTCTAAAAGAGAAGGAGAAACCTGTCCAATTATGTTTTTATAGGCACTAAAGAGCAATATTACGCCAAAATAATCTTATCCAGGCTGAAAACTCGGAAATGTCAACTAAAATCTTCAAAAGTACCTAGTATAATAAACAAAATCTCTAATAACTAAAAAACGTACAACCAGAATAACAAATACTTACTTTTGTGAGACAGAGGGCGTACGTCCGAAGGTGAAATGAAGACGATATTGTAAATCCGACTTGAAACCGTCTCACAATTGATCATCTAGGTATAGAATACCTACCCCCAAAGAATGCTAAAAATTGAGGCAAACCCACACCGTAATTCAATCAAATTTGATTTCTAAAAATAGAATAAGACTTGTTCTTGAAATAATCAACAAGAACTGACCAGATTTACCTTGATTAACCTCCGACATAACAGTCTGAATTTCGGGGAAAAAATAACATTAGGGGCAAAGACTTGACCACCCCATGAAAAAAACTTGACCCGACCCGCAGTGGGTCATGATGAGAGCAATAAAATAAGCGATGGCTGGATCTCCGATGATCCCTATCAAAGTCAAGGGCTCTCTGACTATTTCAACTTGACTCTGAGCAATCGTCAAGCCCAAGAGGAACACATGAAGCTACAGTATACGATTGATCAAGTGCTATTGAAACTGGCATCAGGAAACAACGGAAATGAAAAGGCGAGTTCAACAACAGCTCTTGTAATCAATGAATTTTTAGGTGACAGTAAAATTCTTCCCGGAAAATCCCTACGGATTCTCATTCCTCACAATCAGCTTGCCCTTTCTTTTTGTGGCTTTTGTATTTTCATCGCTGATCCCGATGGCTATGATCATCAAAGACGTGATATATGAGGGAGAAACCGAAATTAAGGTGGGTTGAAAATTGAGATCGGATACAAAAAGGTCAGCGTTCAAAAAGAAAGGCCAAAAAGCGACACTGAGCTAGAGATATTGAGCTGTCTTTGCCGCCGGTAGAGTACGCAAAACACAAAGACTAAAACGCTTCTCCAGTGGCGAAAAACGTACCATTTTGCAGAAGTATCAAAAAATGTAGCAAAATACCTCCCACTTCAAGTGAAAAACTCCGATTTCAAAATTGCGCCCACTCTTTTTGTGAGGGAACGGGTTTTTTTTTAATTGGAGAAGGAGGTATTTTGCTGCATTTTTGATATTTCCCGGATGCGAAATGATACTTTTTTTGCCATGAGATCAGGTCTGTCACTGTAGGTCGCCTATGTATTTATAAATCTTTGTGTGTCCAGAAAATGTGTCAGGAAGACACCAGGTTAAAATGCGCCAGTAGTATATGTAAACAGTGGCTGTATATAAAGATGGTCATATAAGAATTCACAAAATTTTTTTCCCAAATCGCGATTTTCGGTGCACAAAAAAGTGGACGCCCAAATCGGTGCAGACTTAGCTTTTTGGGGGAACAGTTGACCCATTTTGTATTTCTGCTCGAGAAGAATTTTTTTGGTTTTCGCCAATCTTCAAGTGTATTTTCTGAATGAAGACAAGATGGAAATTGTCCAAAAAGGGGATTTTTACCAAGAGCCGGCTGCCCCGTTCGATTTGATGTCTAGATTTCCCGTTTTCTGCTCTGATAAAGCACCAAATTTTGGAATGTTGTGATGTTTGCTGTATCATGGATAATGTAAGCCGATTTGCCTATTTTTGCCAACCATAGATAGCCATTGTTTATGCTACTGGCCCATTTTAAAGCAGCGTCGTCGTGACAAATTTTCTGGACACAAAATAAACCTTGTTCCAGACCTACCTTCTCGTAATGGGAATGTCGCGGCACAGTTTCTACGCCTCGCATTTCCTGTTTGGTCTCGTAAAGATGAGCATCATCATGGCGATTATTACCATCCCATTTTTTTGGGCTTTCAAGGTAAGTCCAATCTACTTGAAAAACCAATGACCTTTTCAGTTAAAAGTCAACATTTTACTCGTTATCTTCGTATTTCTCTACGTTTTGTTCTGCGTGGCGTTTGCTTTGTTATGCGGGACGATCTTACAACGAGTTGGGCTGGCAGTAACTCTAAATGTTTTGGTTACACTAGGACTCACTGCTCTTGCGTTTCAAGCGGCAAATCGTTTGAATGTAGTGGAGATGTGTTTGCATTCGCTCAATCCGCTGGCTGCTTTCCGCCTTGGCTTGACGGATTTGGAGCTCATGCAGAGATACGGTAAGATATGCCGTCCTTGTAGCAGAGTAGAGGCTGTCCTAAAATAACTTAACCATCTCGCTTACTCAAGGTGACCGAGAAAACTTTAGTTTTTATTTTCTATGTTATCAGAAAGTTTTGTCCGTCAATTTTTAGAAAATTTTCATAACTTGTCTTAGGACAGATATACAAAAAACATTTTTACGTGTCATATTCTGTTTGTCATGGCTAGAATACATGCCAAGTTTTAAAGTGATTGAGTTGTATTTACTTGAGATATGGGTGGTCAAAAATTTATGTCCTGGGGTATACAGTGGGGGACCTGATCCATTGGCAAAAAACGTCTCATTTTGCATCCCGGAAGGGACCAAAATGTCTCCAAACCCTTCCCTTCTTTAAGCTAAAAAACTCTGCTTTGAAAAGCGCGCCCTTTCCTTCAAGGCGGGCTCTTCAAAACGGGGTTTTTTAGCTTAGAGAAGGGAAGGGTTTGGAGACATTTTGGTCCCTTCCCGGATGCAAATGGGACGTTTTTTGCCATTGGATCCGGTCCCTCACTGTAGTACATAGACAGATTTACATTTTTCTTTCAGAAACCTCACCTTCCCCACTTAGCCGGTTCACTTATCAATACAACTTGATTCATGCCTTTATTTTTTTGCTCCTTGACACCTTCATCATTATCTCGTTGACTTTTCTCTTGGAGTTGATTGTGCCGACCGCTGGGAATCCAGGGATGGATTTCAGCCAACTTCTTGGGATCTTCCAACGAAAAGGCAAGGTTTCGGGTATGAAAGAAGGTCAGTCAGATGTGCGGTTGGATAAAAATGACTTTGAATCAACAGAAGGGAGAATGGACAAACCGGACGTCGATGTAAGTGGATTTTACTATTCTGTTAAGTGGTATATAGGCATAGAAATAATAATTTGAATGGCGATTTGGCTGCTTTCTACCAAAAAATCAATTCTAGGTCCAAAATCTGCGAAAACGCTGGGGTTACAGTGGAGACTATGCTGTAAATGGAGCCACTTTCCAAGCCTTTCCCGGCGATATCACTGCACTTCTTGGGCATAATGGTGCTGGTAAATCAACAACGTTTTCTTGCTTGACTGGATATACAAAACCGACTTCGGGAAAAGTTATGGTAAGCCGATGAAAATTGCCACTTCCTAAGGGCAAACTTTCTCTCATAAAAACAAAATCCGTCTCCTTCCAGGTGTGCGGTTATGACGTCGAATCCAGCCTCAGCGCCGCTCGAAAATACATTGGCTACTGCCCGCAAGGCAATCCTTTGTACGAACGTCTCTCTTGCGTAGAACATCTGCGGCTGGCCGCAAGGCTACGCAACGCTTACATTGGCGATGATGATTGTATGTCGATCTTGGAGAAGGTTGGCCTCGAAGAGTCTCCGAATGTGCTGGCTAGTGATCTGAGTGGCGGGATGAAGCGGAAGCTGTGTGTTGGCATGGCTTTGGTTGGGAATAGTAGAGTGGTTTTATTGGACGAGCCCACCGCTGGAATGGACCCCACTGCCAGAAGACAAATCGGAGATATCTTGGAGAAATTTAAGCAGGACCGGTAAGGATATCTTTTACATTCATCCGCGGTCATTCTGGACGTTAAAAGACGATTTTTGGCTCACTGCGTCAGCCCGTAATGGACCCGGGACATAGGAAAAAATCGATTTTGAGTTTTTTGCATAAAAATGACCGTCGACATGTGCTAAGGAAAAGCGAACAACAGTTTTTCCCAATTCTGCCCGGAAGGCATAAATTTGCTTAAATTTGTCTTTTTTGGAATTTTCGACCTGGTGACGTCATAGAAAGAGCAAATCACCCAAAATTTTGCTTGTGTACGTTTTCGACCTTTGGGAATTCATTTTTTTGAAAATTAAGTCTCTCAGATTACTGTAACATAGGCATATTGTAATCCGGTCGATAAAAATCGACCGTAACTCCTTCGTATCAAAAATCCCACAGGATTTTATTTCAGATTCGGAATCAGCATAAAATTCTGCATATTATACACATAATGTGAGGTCATAACTCCAGGGGGGAGATCGCGTAGTATATTGGATTTTGGCAAAAAGTACGTTTGAAAGGTCGCGGGTTCGATCCCCGCTTGGTGCAAATATTGAAAACACGGCGGAAATCGCGTTTAATGGACACCTAAGGGTTATATGAGATACACTAAGCAATTTTAAACATTAATGCATATCTAATTGCGATTAAAACTGATTTTATATAATTTTTGGAGACTGAATATGCCAAAAATGAAATTGCTTCAAACCGCTTGAAATTGGCAACACTTATTCTAGGGTCAATTGTAAGAAACTTTTGTGTTAACTTTTTTTGGCAAATCACCGTACCATGGATTACTGCAACATTAAACCTGATTTGGTTTTTCGTGTACCACATGGCGCATAGAAGTCGGATTGTCATCATTGTGGTCAGAATGGTTAAGAAAGGGTTTTCTTGTGTACAAAAAAATTTTTATGGCTGTACCGTTTGGAATGGCCGAGTTATTTGACGCACTTTCACCAATTGATTATGACATCAAAACGCGTTGCAGTTAAGGTTGAATTTTCTTTCATATATAGAAAGTGGATCTTTTCGCTGTCTAAAACGACTAATTAAAACGATTTAATATTTTATGCAAGAATTTTGCAGAAAATTGCTGTTAATCAGGACACGTTTAATGCTACAGTAATCCATGGTACGGTGATCTGCCAAAAAAAGTTAACACAAAAGTTTCTTACAATTGACCCTAGAATAAGTGTTGCAAATTTCAAGCGGTTTGAAGCAATTTCATTTTTTGCATATTCAGTCTCCAAAATTATATAAAATCAGTTTTAATCGCAATTAGATAAGCATTAATGTTTAAAATTGCTTAGTGTATCTCATACAACCCTTAGGTGTCCATTAAACGCGATTTCCGCCGTGTTTTCAATATTTGCACCAAGCGGGGATCGAACCCGCGACCTTTCAAACGTACTTTTTGCCAAAATCCAATATACTACGCGATCTCCCCCCTGGAGTTATGACCTCACATTATGTGTATAATATGCAGAATTTTATGCTGATTCCGAATCTGAAATAAAATCCTGTGGGATTTTTGATACGAAGGAGTTACGGTCGATTTTTATCGACCGGATTACAATATGCCTATGTTACAGTAATCCGAGAGACTTAATTTTTAAAAACATGAATTCCCAAAGGTCGAAAACGTACACAAGCAAAATTTTGGGTGATTTGCTCTTTCTATGACGTCACCAGGTCGAAAATTCCAAAAAAGACAAATTTAAGCAAATTTATGCCTTCCGGGCAGAATTGGGAAAGACTGTTGTTCGCTTTTCCTTAGCACATGTCGACGGTCATTTTTATGCAAAAAACTCAAAATCGATTTTTTCCTATGTCCACCGCTGACGCAGCGAGCCAAAAATCGTCTTTTAAAATCGAAGGGAAATTTGAATTTCGGACTTCCCGCCAAAATTGGCATTGTGATGCAAGGGTCTGAAAGTTGGTTTTATCGCGCCTAAAGGCTGTAAATTTAATCGTATGGGTTGTTTTTCAAACAATAAAAGACGTTTTGCAGCAAAATTTTCAAAATTAAAATTTCCCGCATTTTTTGGCATTCTGTCTTAGGCCTCCGGAATACTCAAAAATGGGTAAATTAAGTGTTTAAAAGTAATTTAAAATACGAGTTTTTGCTTCTAGAACCATTATCTTGACCACACATTACATGGACGAGGCGGATCTTCTTTCCGACCGAATATTAATCATGGTCAAAGGAAAGGTAATTTGCGCCGGATCCTCGGCCTTCCTCAAAAACCGATTTGGCACCGGATTCCTGCTTACCGTAACTCTCCGACAAGGCGTTGACCCCGTAAAAAACTCCGCCGAGATTTTGTATTTGATCCAAGATTACGTGGAGGACGCGAAATTCGATGGCAGCCCTGCGGCGCAATTCACTGTGAACCTGCCATTCGAAGGCAAAAAACAGTTTGTAAGACTGTTTTCGGCGTTGGAAAGGAGCAAGGATGCGCTGGGAATAGACTCTTTCGGACTGTCCGTTAACACTTTGGAACAGGTCTTTATTAATGTGGGAGAACGAGCCGAGAACAAAGATGGAAGAGAGGTGGCGGACAAGATCGCGGAGAACGCAAGGAGAGTTGAACAGCAGGATTGTAAGTTCAAATTTATATATAAGATCGTCTGAAAAGTCTGTCCGGAAAATCATGACTTATGTGTCCCGTTTAGTAAGTCGCAATCCCAATATCGTCAAGCAAATCATCGCGTTGGTCTGGAGAAACATCCTATACCAATTTCGGAGCCCTGTCCGCACAATCGTCCCATTTTTGGTATGTCTGGCCTCATTTGCCTACCTTTGGTTTGGATTGAAAAACAAACGAGAAAGTCATATGGAGCTGAAAGGTAAGCGCTGAATTTTTTTAATTTCTTATATTACAAGGAAAGTACTTCTATGGGGTGTGGAGTTACAGGTCGAGATATATATCAAAAAATTCGCAAAAATTTTCTGATTCAGAATATATAAAAATTAGCTGCCTAATTTTGGTCTATTAACGAGTTTTATGAATAAATGTATTTCTCGAGGAAAAAAAAGTGCGGCAACAAAAGCGCGCTCGGTCTCTTCCTCCGGAAGAGAGCGGTGTGGCCGAGTGGTTAGAGCGCTATATTGGAAATCCGAGGGGAACGGGTTCGATTCTTTTTGCCACACAAGAACCCATTTTTTACATTGGAACTACTTTTAAGGTGTAGTTGTAATCCAATTTGATATTTTAAGGCTTGTCAAGGCCTCAGAATTTATTTTAACACAAAACAAAACTTTTTTATTGATAAAAACACGGTCAACAAGACACTTGCATGGTGTCGCGAGAAAACTTCTGAGGACAAAAACATGTCATCAGACCAAAATTAGGCAGCTAATTTTTATATATTCTGAATCAGAAAATTTTTGCGAATTTTTTGATGTATATCTCGACCTGTAACTCCACACCCCATAGAAGTACTTTCCTTGTTAAAAAAATGTGTCGCCGCGCTTTGAAGGCTCAGTCGTGATTTTCATAGATTTTCCGGCAAAGAGAGCACACAAAACGTGGAGAGCAGGCCAAAGAGAAAACGCTTTTTGGCCATATCTCTCCCAGTTTCGTGTGGCTAATGAGCTAACAATTGAAGCCATTCTTTTCGTAGATCGATCCATACTGGTACCTAGTGGATGATGAAGGCCTTGCAATTAGGCGGTGAAAGAAGCATTTACCTTTTTTTGCATGAACTTTGACGAGCCATAACTTCGCCTTCAGGGCCTGTAAACAGTTTTGGAAGACAGTTGCTTCTTTCACTGTCTAAGGCCTTCAATATCCACTAGGTTCTCAGTATAATCGATCTGCAAAAAAAGTGAAAAAGCGTCTTCCTTTGTAAGCTTTCATCTTCTAGAAGAAGAAGAGCTCCAGCTTATTGGAAGCCTGCCATACAGTAAAATCGTCACGAATTCAAAGGCCAGGCTGGAGAGCCTACTGAACAATTGGCCTCAATGTCCAGTCAGTGAGATCGATTACAACGAAAAGAAGTTTCTGGACCTTCAATTCGACGTTCCGCCGGCATCCTTCGGCTTCTTTAAGCCTGATGCGGGCTCTGTTTTTCTGTTTGTCAGCCCATTCTTGGACGCTGGAAAATTGATCGCACTTAATATTTGGAGCAATTTGGCGTTTGGCAATGGAGAACTGTGTAGGTTACGTTAACATCATATGATTTCACTGCCTTTTGAGGGCTGTTTTCTATTGATTTTTTTCCAGCTAACATCAAGACAGGCATAATCCAAAAGAAGCTGATTACGGGAAGTATGATGGACCTGTTCAAGAATTTGCTAAGCGGTCTCGCTGCCGTGTTTGGACTCACTTATGGTATTACAATGCTGCTGAATACGGTTATCACGGAACGCGTGAAACGGTTCAAGCATCAGGTAGGGCAGATTTAGTAGCAAAATCTTTTCTAAGACCACTAACCATAAGAGACTTTTTATCTTGCGCTTTGCAGAAACGACCGAGATTTTTAGATCTAAAGTTGTCGAAAATCTCGCATTCTTTTGCGAATTTCCAAAAAAAAATCCAAAATTAAAACTTTCGTTTCAGATCCATTTGGCCTCCGCCAAATGGCCAACTTATTGGATCGCCCAATTCATCTCGGATTTGGCCTATTTCTCAGTCCTGGTCTTGTTCGTTTATATTGCAACAGTGGCCACAATTGGCCTCAATTTCGCATGTTCGTTGGGAATATTGCCGATCTACTTTCTGTACTTCGCCTCAAGCTCATTGGCAAGCTATGTGATCAGTTTTGCGTTCGAATCGCCAACCAAAGGCTCGGTTTTTATTCTGGCGTTCCACACAATTATCCCGCCCTTGGTGGCCATGGCGTATTTTGCCGGCGTTGCTTTGGTTAAAAACATTTTGCAACAAGAGCCGGCTGCGCTGGCAACAATTGGAATTGTAAGCAATTTTGTGTAGATTTGATTTTTAGGCCAAGAATAGTCATTTTTTGAGGTTTTAGCCCAAATAGGGTGGTTGAAACAGAATGCCAAAAATGGTGGGAAATATTAGTTTTAAAAGATTTCAACGCTACAAAGAAGAGTGTAGTGGAGAATTGAAATCTTTCCGGTCTTTTTCAAAGGCCTCTTTTGGCAAAAACAAGTTTTTTGAAGGAATTTTGAAAATTTTAGGTCTCACCACGAAAACAATAAAAATGTCAGATATTGTGTCTTTCGGCTCTTGGCTGTTAGGACGTTCAAACCAGACGGTTTTCAAAAAATCTTCGCTCAAAATTGAACACAAAAAGCTCTTAAAAATCCAAAAAATCTCGATTTTTACGTCCTCAATAATTAAAAAAATTATTGTAAAAAATGCCCATAAAACTATTTCAGTACGGTCTCCGAATCCTCTTCCCCGCGATCAGCCTGATTTTTGGGCAAGTCAGCTGCATTAGCAATTGTAACACAAAAAAAGAAGTGTTCGCCATGTACACCGAAAAATCGAAGGAAGGCGACTTGAATGAGAGCTGGAAAGCAGTGATCACACTTTCACTGGGCTCACTCTTCTATCTGTTCTGGTTGGCATTTATCGAGATGAAAATCTGGAATAGGATCTCTCATCCATGGCATGTTCGACGGTTCAGAAATGTGAGTTCTCAAAAGTGGGAGATGCGCGAAGTGTGACGGTCCGATTTGCTTCACAAGGAAAGTACTTCTATGGGGTGTGGAGTTACAGGTCGAGATATATATCAAAAAATTCGCAAAAATTTTCTGATTCAGATTATATAAAAATTAGCTGCCTAATTTTGGTCTATCAACGAGTTTTATGAATAAATGTTTTTCTCGAGGAAAAAAATCTGCGGCAACAAAAGCCCGCTCGGTCTCTTCCTTCGGAAGAGAGCGGTGTGGCCGAGTGGTTAGAGCGCTAGATTGGGAATCCGAAGGGAACGGGTTCGATTCGTTTTGCCACACTAGAACCCATTTTTTACATTGGAACTACTTCTAAGGTGTAGTTGTAATCTAATTTGATATTTTAAGGCTTGTCAAGGCCTCAGAATTTATTTTAGCACTAAACAAAAATTTTTTATTGGTAAAAACACGGTCAAAAAGACACTTGCATGGTGTCGCGAGAAAACTTCTGAGGACAAAAACATGTCATCAGACCAAAATTAGGCAGCTAATTTTTATATATTCTGAATCAGAAAATTTTTGCGAATTTTTTGATATATATCTCGACCTGTAACTCCACACCCCATAGAAGTACTTTCCTTGTCAAATTTTCCGAATACAGTGGTGGATCTGACGCAGTGGCAAAAAACGTACCATTTTGCGTCCGGGAAGTATTAAAAAATATAGCAAAACACCTCCCTCTCCAAGTGAAAAACTCCGTTTTAAAGGGTAGCTTTTGAAATTGGAGTTTTTTCACTTGGCGATGGAAGTATTTTGCTACATTTTTTGTAGGTTCCCGAATGCAAAATGATACGTTTTTTGCCACTAGATCAGGTCCACCACTGTAGATGTAAATAGCTACAAACTTTTCATGCCAAAGTTTCACCAGAAAGTACCGAGTTTCGGAAGAGTTTCGAGTGAAAAAAAAAACTTTGGTTGTTTCTGCAAAACGCGAACAGAGAATCACGTATGCCTTGGAAAATATAAATTTTATTTTTTTTCTAATTTTCATCGTAATTCGAGCGTCGCATTGAGAACTTTGTAAACCTTCCCTCTTTCAGCAAATTTCTTCTGCAATTGATGAAGACTACGATGTCACAATGGAACGTCAACGAGTCGCTGGATTGTCGGATGACCAACAGGCTCTAGCGACTCGGAGTCTATTCAAATTTTTCCCTCCGAAGAAATGCGCCGTGCAAAATCTGACCTTCGGAATGGCTCCCAACGAATGTTTCGGACTTTTGGGTTGGTTTACAGTACTATGGATGAATACAGTCAAACCTCTGTACAACACACCACAAGGGACCAAAAAATTTACTTTTTACAGACAGCTTTCGTTGCAAAACGGTTCATTTTGACCTAAAAAATACTCTTGTGACTTGCGAAATTGTTCGCTATAGACAGAAATAGAGCGTCAATTTAGTTTTCCATCACTTTAACAAACTATTTAGGAGTAAATGGAGCCGGCAAAACGACAACTTTCGATATGCTGACGAACAAAATCTTGCCCACCAGCGGGACCGCCAAAATCCTCGGAATTCCGATTCAGAACACCCCAGCTATCGGATATTGCCCTCAATTCGATGCATTATCCGACAACCTAACTGGCCGGGAAACTCTTCAATTATTGGGAAGATTGAATGGATTCCAAAATGTTGACGAAAGAGTCAAATTGGTGCTGGAATGTGTGTTGCTGGAGAAGAAGGCGAACAGTCTGGTGAAAACCTACAGGTGAGAGATTGTGAAAGGTTTTCACAGCCCAAATGCGGTGTATTTGCGACTTGAAGATAAAATTCAATGAAGAATTCATCTTTTTTGTCAAAAATTAGCTTCAAAAAAGAGTTTTGAAGAGAAAAAGCCCAATTTTTTCTTGCATCTCTTGATAGCACTTGGGGTACTTCATCTGTGAGTTTTTTGGATTAACGGGAAATTTTTCGACTTGTTCCAGTTTTTCTCAAGTTCTCTGTGAGTTTCAAAAATTAACCAGTGATTATAAACTGGACTGATGTGATTTTAGCGTCGGATAAAATTTATATTGTTTTAGTGGAGGTCAGAAGCGCCGTCTCTCCATCGCCGCCTGCCTCATGTCCGGCTCCAAATTCCTGATCCTGGACGAGCCCACCGCCGGTGTGGACCCGGCTACCCGCCGCCACATCTGGGACCTTCTGATTGCAATGAGAAATCAGAATAAGGCCATTTTGTTGACCACCCACTCCATGGAAGAGTGTGAAGCACTGTGCACACGGATCGGATTTCTGCGAGCCGGCAGACTACGAGGAATCGGGACAAGTCAGCATCTCAAATCCCGCTATGGAAATTCTTTCATCTTGACGTTGATTTTGAATTTCCCTAGCAGAGAAAACGCCGCATTCATTGATGATGCAGTTCGTCGACGATTTGATGTTTCGTCGACCGACTCCTCGCCCGAACACAGCGCTCTCTCCTGGACGCTGCCCAAGAAGGAAGGCTCAATTTGGAGCGAAATGTACGCAGTTGTGGAGGACTTTGTGGACAGAGTGAATAGAGAAAGTGGAGTGGAGGTTATCCATGACTTCTACTTGATTCAAGACTCCTTGGAACAAGTGTTCACAAGGCTGGCAAATTCGGAAGAAGATCTTCCAGATGAAAACCAAGAAGTATGTTCGAAATTTTTAGGCATTCTTATTTACCTACTTTATGATACTGATTTTATTCCCAGGAACCTCTACAAAACGCGCCGAGAAATTCAACCCTCTTGAGGAATGAGAGACGAACGACTTTGGATTCGTTGAAGTTTTAATTCAATTTTTTATTATTTAATAAATTTTATCTAGACTATTGCATCAGTAATCGTCAAAGAGCACTATTACCCACGAAAAATTTCAAAAAGTGCCAAGTCCAATAAAATTTTTATTGTCTATTGTCTAGACAGCTAATGCACAATGCATATTCAAGGATTTGAGGACGTAATCTACACAAATGTGATATTTACAAACCCTCGAAAATCCAAAACCTCAGTTTGTTACCTCTACCGCAAAGAAATTCTAAATTTGCTCCGAAAAAGCCGCCCTCCTCAAACGTTCCCATAAATTCCAGAAAAAGCCTCTGTATTCCATCTGGACACACGAACACATACCTAAACATCAACAATAAACTCAAAAATTACCTGTCTGCAACGATTTTTCCATCGACTGGCTACTTTGGCGCAATAATTTTGCCCTTGAATAAGATTACGCCAACTTTTCCTGAAAAAGACCAAGCACAATGAGGAGGAAATACCAAATACCATCCTCTTGAATAAGAAAAACAAAGCTATCAGAAAACCAAAATCTCCTATGATTATGGCACGATTTTATGATCTTATATCCCCTTTTTCTCGGTAAATACCGATGCCTAACACGTGAGGAGTGCTGGGAGTCGTGACCAATAGCCTTGATATTACATTAGACAAGACTGCGGTACAACGAGAACCACTGAAAATTGTGCTATTTATATTGCACTTACATCGTATTTTACTGTATAAAAAGTGCCGACACAGGGGACTCGGATTTACTTATAAGTAAAATTTTTTACTTATATTTACCAATAACTTACATATAAGTTAAAAAAGGCGGGGCTTATTTATTTTTACTTATATTTACGTTTATTTACTTATATTTACAAATAGCGGAACTTATATGTAAAAAACGGCGGAGCTCGTTCATTTTTACTTATATGTACATATATGAGCTCGAAAAGAAAACTTTTGAGCGTCAAAGACGCTTTTTGGTTTCTGCACGCGTTGGCCGGACTTGGAAAAATTCTAAGTTTTTGGAGCGCCAAAGAACGTATCTCAACCTCGGACCGAATAAAGTAAGATGCTTGTAGTCAGTTTTTTTTCTTTTACAGGAGAACAGAGTACTCAGATCAAAAGTCGCGAACGTGAGAACCTTCTAGAGCACGGAGCGTCAAACTTCACGCAGTTCCAAAAAATCTATAAACAAGCACTATGAGGCAGGAATTTGGATGAAGAATTGTTTGCTCAAACTTGGTAGGTGTTTTTTTAAACTGCTTTCACATTTCATAAATCCAAAGATTTTTCCCATAGTTTTGCTATGTTGTACTAGGTCCAGGTGAAGCCTCTAGGTTTCAGATTATCGAAAAATTGGTCGTGGAGGGTAGTAAATGGGCAATACACACGATCCCGAAAAAATGGCACTCGGATGATTCAGGTATGTTGAGAATATTCACCTGGACCTAGTACAACATGAAAAACTTAGTGTCTCGAAATTTCATTTACAAACTTGGTGAACCTAAAACTAATTTTTCGGGGTGGAGAAGCACAAACAATTGAGAAGGGCTTATAGTAAATGTCGTCGAACGACCTTATCTTCTTTATTTGTTACTATTTTCAGTGAATGCAGACGCAGAAGTCCCCATAGAAGATCTCGAAAGCAAGCAATTGATGCCTAATAAGGACAAAAACAGATGAGAAAACTATCCGGAGCACACAAGATGCGTTATCCACATGTATTTGTTGTTTTTGAGAATCAAAATAAACGTTTATAATATAATCTGCACTGTGCATAATTCTGGGTTACAAATAAGTAAAATACCCTTATTGGTAAATATAAGTAAAAAATCCTTATTTGTAAATATAAGTAAATTTGTGGAGCGTCGAAAATAAAGTTTACATATAAGTAATTTCAGAATTACTTATATGTACGATTATTTACTTATATGTACGTTTATTTACTTATATAAACTTCAATTTCATATAAGTAAAAAAGGCGTACATATAAGTAAATCCGAGTCCCCTGTGGACAGAATTCTTATTGGGCATTATGCCAAAAAATCCCTGAATTTATTTGAGTCCCGCACCGATTACAGCACCGTACTTTGCCGCATTCATCAAGCTTCCGGCAATTTTCGCGTCATTTTCGTACACGTGTGCACCTGTCAGTCTGTCGGGGAACTAGCTAGCGGACTGTTGCTGCCCGTCGCTGAAGTGAAAAACAATTTGACTTTGCCGCGGCACAATTCATTTTCTCAGTGGTGATACGATTTTCGGTGCCACACTCATTTATTTGTTGTTTTTTGATACGATTTTCGATTATTTGCGGTTTTTTGAGGGATTGAATGTTGTATTAGGTCGTCTGACAATTTTTGTGAGAATTTATGATTGTTTTTTATCGTGTTACACCTATTTTAATGGCCTTCGTGTTGAACACTTTATGTTCCAGAGTTCGCTGTCCATCTACCGCTCCATGCACCCCAGATCACGGATCCCCGAATCGCCATGGCGCAGACCGGGACTTGCCGAGCGAACGAAGAACATGGATGGAAGGGGAGCTCAAATGGCCTTCACAATGTTTATAACGTAAGTTTCCCTTTACATTGGTTTGTTTTGAATTTAGGCAGTCTTAGTGTATATTGTAGTAGATGTAATCTTGAGGCGTGATATCACCTGAAAGTTGGCAAAATTTGTCAGCTTTCAGGAGTGTTTCTGTATAACGAGGCTTACTGGAATATTGTACTTGGTTGACTGTCCGCTTTTTTGAATTTGTGCCGAGTTTTTATTGCGTTTAAGACTATTTCGCCTTTATGTTGAGACCTTTCTATTCCTTCTGTTTCAGAGTCCAGTGCCCCGTCGCCGGCCGTCCAAGATCTTTCGTGACCCGTCCGATGGCAAAGGAGATGAGAGAGAGATGGCAATCAAATAAAGAAGGTCGATGGCACAGGCTCAAATGGACTTTTTTACAATTGTTATGAGGTAAGGTTTCTTTTACATTGGTTTGTTTGGGATTTAGGGTTGTTTTTTTGTTGTTGGGGAATGACATTGTAGTAGATATAGGATTGAAGCATGATTTGGCCTGAAAGTTGGTAAATTTGACTGCTTTCAGCAGAATTTTCGGATGAAAAGTACTTTAGGAGATTGTTGCTTGCAGGTAGCATTAATTATCGAAATTCACCAGATTTCTTTCGATCTTGTACTTGATATTTGTTCAGAGCTCAAGTTTATTGTTGAAGGCGGTCTCTGAGAGCTCTTGGGGAGTTAGTATTGCTTCAAAATTCTTTTTCTTGTCCCTCAAACCAGTACAGTGCTCGGTGTAGTGTTATTGTTGAGTTTATTTAGTTAATAGTTGTTATTGTTTATCAACGTGTTTATCAAAAATGGATGGTGGTACGCGAAGAGGGTGCTGTTTATAACTTTAGTAGTAGGTCTGAATTATTGTTATAGAAACAAATTAGCTCTTAATATTGTTGTTATATAATTTTACATCACTTTTGTTATGTAATACTGTGTAATATTGTTTTATGCTTTTTCATTGGCTTTTATGTATGGTCCGATCTTTTTTAAGGCCTTTGGTGGGTCTTTCTTGAGATAATTTGCTTTTTGTTGAGTTGAAATTGTCGCCTTTTACTGTTTCATGTTGTTTTAGTCAGTTTTTGTTGTGTTATTGTCCATAAAATTATGTACTAATTGCTTTTTCAAGTGTTGTATTAGTACGATGATGTTGTTTTTATATTTTCGGTGTCTCTGTTACTTCTTTATGCAACAAAATGGATGGTTTTTATTCAAATGGAGCCGTAGAAGAGGTTATATTGTTTTAGTTTGTTTTCTTCCATGTTTTTTGTATCGAATTTTAATTGTGAAGGTGACTCATTTGTTATGCTTACTCATTGTATTAGGTCGCCCAGAAAGTTGGTTTGTTATTTCGTTGCTTTGTTTTACGAGGATTGTTTATAGTTTGGCAAAGGGTACATTTATTTGATACAGCCAGTTTTGTAGAGGAGAAAACGCTGTATCATAAATACGTTCCATTTGCCAAAGAACAAACAATCCTTGTAAAACAAAGCAATGAAAAAACGAACGAACTTTCTGGACGACCTAATATTTTGCTCTTACCTTTTTTTTTTGATTTTTGTGCCTTATTTGGTGTCATTTTGCCTTATACTGACTTTTGGTGCTTTATTATCTTATATTTAGTCATTTTCATTCAAACCTTTGTTATGTTATTGCATATACGTTTATTTATTTGTATGTTCTTCAAGTGTTATTAGTAAGAGGATGTTCTTACATTGTCAGCGTCTCTGTTAGTTCTTTGTGCAATGTAGCCATCAGATAGACTGTATTGTATTAGCTTGTTTTTCTAAAAGCCGTAGCAAATTTTTATTGTGATCTTGACCCGATTTGGTGTCATTTTGACTTATATAATACATTGTATTTTCCCTTATTACTGATTTTTGATCTTTTATTTTCTTTACAGTCGGTAATTGTTTATCTTATACTACTTTCATGTTATACTTGATCAAGTTTGTATTGAATGCACTGCAGGTTTATACATTTAGTCCTGTGTTTTTAACCTGTTTGCATAATGCGACTTTTTCGTTGCTTTCGCCTCTGATTTTATTACGTTTTGATGTTTTTGTGATTAGATTTTTTGGTTATTTTGCTACTTATTTTGATGTTTTGGTCTTTTATTGTGGTGTATTTCTTCTATTTTTATTTTATAGATAATTTTTTTAAAAGTAGATCTACCCGTCGCTGTACCGCCCTTTTCATGGGTTTGTCTGATATTATAATTTGTAATATCAGAAATTAAAATTCCCCATTTATTGTGGCCATTGTTTCGGGACCAAAAAAGGTCTCAAGACATGGTCGGCGATACAAATTCTTCTTGAGCTTTTAGAGGTCACTTCCACTTTAATTTTGAGCCTTGATAGAATAGTAATTGGAGAAAGGGGCGAGAAATTTGAAGTTTGGGAGATTTGAGGTTTTTAAGATGAAGGTTTGACAAATATTTTGTTTTTTCTTTGTATGTATTATTAATGATTGTATTTTCATCGACTTCTGAACATTGAGCGCTCAAAATCGATCCAGAAAGTGCCAAAGAACAATGCCATCTCGTCCAGTGTCCGATAAGTTTGATTTTTTGAAGGTAGGATACTTTTAATTGTGTAATTACATGTGTATTGGGTTTTATTTGTAATTATTTTACTTTCAGACTTCCGATCAGGTTCCAGTCGTGCCCGCAAGCAAAGGAGGAAAGTTTTTTGATGTTTTTGCATTATTAATGTTATAATTTTTTATTGGTTGAATATGGCCGTACAAGCGCCGATTTTGTAGGGCTCGGAAAATCCTTGCCCTTGTTTTTTTCGTGAACATACCATTTGAAAGAGCGCGAAAAGTGCTCTAGAAGCGACTTTTTTCGCTGCTATTTTTCGCTTACGTGCTGGCTAGCGGGAAGTTTTCAGTTTTAGGTTAGTCGTTAGCATGCTTTGATGCTTTGCACCGTGCAGTGTGCAATACAATACTCCCGGACTGACCACTCTTTAATTTTGTTTATTGGGCCCATGTTTCAAAGTTTTAGCTACTCTCAGGAAAAGCTGCCAAATATTTGGTGGAAATTTTATGAATGGGATTTTGTATATTTGCACTTCAGGTGTAGTTTTTTGGGCGTTTTCGAGAAGATAGTGGACAAGACTTTATTGATCACCTAGGTAAATCACCCGCTGCAATGAGTATTCAGCGCATTGCAAGATTTTGTTAGTATACGATTGATAGAGATAGGGTAAAAAGATAAAATCCGCGTTATGTAATTGTTGATATATTGTCAATCAACGGTAATCGTAGCCATAGATATCCCCGGTTTTATCATTCGCAAATTATTAGATTCGCCGGCTGGCTGGGCTTGGTGGCTTGTAACTTTTTCAGAATCAGTCCAAACTTTATCCCTATCCAATGTAAGCTAAGGTTATGTGAGTGTTGGCCCGGGCTCTTGCAACCTTGATGTGAAACTGAAGGAAATCCAAAACTTTAGTATTTTGTGACGGATTGTGATAGGAAAATCGAAATAGTTGTGTCTTTTTTGGGGGACTTTCATTAGTGCCGAACGCTCTAGGTAATTTTCAGCATAGTTTAATGTGGCATGGAGTTACAGGTCGGGCCATATATCAAAAAATTTGCAAAATTTTTTTTTTGTTTTTTCTCACTTCGGGTCAACGACAACTCGGGTCAACGACACTTCGGGTCAACGACACCTCGGGTCAACGACATTTCGGGTCAACGATACCGTTTAATATTTTCGCTTCGGGACTGGGAAAAAAGAATCTTTTGGTGAATTTGAGAAATTTTTTTAATATTTTCGCTTCGGGACTGGGAAAAAAGAATTTTTTTGGTGAATTTAAAAAATTTTTCAAATGTTTTCGCTTCGGGACTTGAAAAAAAGATTTTTTTGAGAGTTTGAACAAATTTTTGAAATGTTTTCGCTTCAAGAACTGGAGAAAAGAATTTTCTGGAGAATTGAGGTTTATTTTTAAAAATTTTTTAAGAAAATAGTGTATAAGCGACGAGTAAATAAGAAAATCGTATCCATTGTCTATGTTTTTAACTGGAAGCACGGGATTTAAACGCAGACAGTGCCAGAGAGTGGAGTAAGAAGATAGTCGTAATGATTGCATGCACATAACAATTTTCTTATTTGCTCCTCGCTTATAAACACTATTTTCCCAAAAATTTTTAAAATGAACCTCAATTACCTCTAAAATAACTATTTATCTAAAAAATTAAAGAAATAACATTCGTACCTTATGTAAAATAAAATAGTAACATTCAGAACAAAAAATCCTTTTCCCAATTCCCGAAGCAAAAAAATTTTCAAAAATTTGTTCAAACTCTCCAAAAAACCTTTTTTCCAAGTCCCGAAGCGAAAACATTTCAAAAATTTCTCAAATTCACCAAAAGATTCTTTTTTCCCAGTCCCGAAGCGAAAACATTTCAAAAATTTCTCAAATTCACCAAAAGATTCTTTTTTCCCAGTCCCGAAGCGAAAATATTAAACGGTATCGTTGACCCGAAATGTCGTTGACCCGAGGTGTCGTTGACCCGAAGTGTCGTTGACCCGAGTTGTCGTTGACCCGAGTTGTCGCGACCCGAGTTGTCCCTGACCCGAAATGTCGGGACGCGTCCAGCACGTAAGGTAATAATCGCGGCTATTAGCATTTTCACAAAGTGCCTCTCGATTGCACGGTGCAATTGATTTGATTCCTGCGCTTTGTAGGGAATTTTGTTTCCCTACAAATTCCCTGTGCACGAAGATTTTTTATGAACTGCGATAAGTTAATCGATGCACAGTGCAAAAAACTAAGTTTTTGTCTACACGGTGCAGTGACCGGGTCACTGATGGGTGAATTTGATTTTCCGCGCACTGCAAACAAGAGCTTGCACCGTGTATTTCATATTTTTTTGCGAGAAAATTCCAGGCGCTTTGAGAAGATGCTGACGGTAAAACGCGGTTCTTGACTGGCTTTTTCCACTCTTTCAAATGGTATGTTCAAGAAAAAAACGGGCGGGGTTTTTGACGAGGAGCCCTTGTGTGCTTTATTTTTTGTTCATATACGTATGTATTGGTGACTTAGTTGTCGACGCAGTAATTCGTGAAAAGTTTTCGCACCGCGTCGGCGAATGCATTGCTCTTTTCTCTCTTTTCTAAGGCTAACGACTCTCTTGTGTAAAACGGAAACTGTGAGCAGCCGCGCGGTACAAAAGAGTCACGAATTATTGCGCCGGTGATTTGTAGGAAAGGTAAGTAAGGTAAACCCCTTGCTGGACACTGTCGCGCACTTTGGAAATCGGTAAAATACGGTGTGCCGGGTTGTATGATGGAATATGTTTCCAAGTTGTGCAGCTCTCTCTTTTTTTCGGTTCGCTCCTTTTCGTTGTGTCGAATTTTTTGGCGGGGAGTGCTGATTTTTCGTACGATTGACATATTTTTTGCATTTTTCAAAATTTTCCCATTGTATAGCACGGCACATCCTATTTTTTCGATTTTCAAAAAGGTGAGATGGTGTTCACCTGTAACAGTAAATCTATAAGGCAAAGGTTACAGGAAAAGGTTGAACAAATCGAACCAGGCAATATGGTTTGTTGTCTCAAGAATGTCTAGCTAAAAGGCTGAATAGTCAATCGAGGGTTTCGGAAATTCGGCGGTCATTTGCAATTTTTTTCACTAGCTTTCCGTGACTCCCGAAGAAGTATGACACATTTTCAATCCATTCTAAAATTTTGGGTTTGATTTCAACTCATCTGCTACAAGTGGGACAATTTTCAAAAAAATCGTACATTATTCCTTCGTACGACGACCGTTTATTCGTTAAAAAATCATTTTGTAAAATACGTTCCTTTTATGCGACAGCAGAGCTGTTTTTGGACGTTTTTCTCGGAGCACTAGAGGCGGAGCTTGAGGCAGATTTGCTCGAAGGTCCTTCCTTGATGCTCTAAAACAATTTTTCCTCTTAAAAACTGCTCTCCGGTCATCTTACAGCATCGTTTTCGTTTTCCACCGAATTGTCTCCTTGATTTGCCAGCCTTGTAAACACCTGTTCCAACGAGTCTTGGATCAAATAAAAGTCGGTGACCACTTCCGTCTGATGTTTTTTATTCACTTCCTCCACAAATCTTTCCACTTCTGCGTACATCCTACTCCATTTCGCCCCTTCCTTCTTGGGGATTGTCCAGGAGAGAGCCGCTTGTTCTGGGGACGAATCGGTGGCGGGAACATCAAATTTCTCTCTGACTTCTTCATCAATCAACCTGGTGTTTTCTTTTCCGGGATTCTTCACAACCAACGTCAAAATATACGAGTTGCCGTATCGAGATTTGAGATGCTGACTTGTTCCGACTCCACGCAACTTTCCCGCTCTCAAAAATCCGATCCGTGTGCACAGTGCTTCACACTCTTCCATGGAGTGGGTGGTCAACAAAATGGCCTTATTCTGATTTCTCATTGCAATCAGAAGGTCCCAGATGTGGCGGCGGGTGGCCGGGTCTACACCGGCGGTGGGCTCGTCTAGGATCAGGAATTTGGAACCGGACATGAGGCAGGCGGCGATGGAGAGGCGGCGCTTCTGACCTCCACTAAAACAATATAAAATTTCTCTCACGAATGGAAATATGGTCTGAATTCACATCAGTCTTTATATTCTGAAACTTACAGAAAACTAGAGAAAAATAGGATCAAGTCAAAAATTTCCCGTTAATCCAAAAAATCTCAAATTTAGATCAAAATCTCTCCTCCCAAAAAAATCTTCACCTCCAACTTGCCTGTACGTATCCACCAATTCATTCTGTTTGTCTTCCAGCAACACACATTCCAATATCAAGTCCACTCGCTCATTTACATTCGAAAATCCATTCAATTTCCCCAACAATTGCAGGGTTTGACGGCCAGTTAAAATTCCGGAAAGGGTGTCAAATTGTGGGCAATATCCGATGGCTGGGGTGCGGCTCACATCAATTCCTAAGATGTAAGCTTCTCCACTTGTTGGGTAGGTCTGATTCGTCAGCATATCAAAGGTTGTGGTCTTGCCCGCTCCGTTCACACCTAAAATGAGGTAAATTAGGAAATTAACCCAAATCAATACAAAAAATTTCACTTTTCACCCTTTTAAGAGGCAAATATACCTCTTTTACCTTACAACAAGACCTAAAAAACCTACCCAAGAGTCCAAAACATTCGTTGGGGGCCATTCCAAAAGTCAGATCCTTGACCGCGCATTTCGTTTTTGAATAAAACTTGAACAAACTCTGAACCAACAACGCTAGTTCCTCATGATCTTTGTTGGAGACACGTTCTCTTTCCTTGGCGACATCCGATTCTTCATGACTTATTGGACTAACAAACTAAAAATTCAAAACTTCAAAATGCTAAACCAACTCACTTTTCCGAATCTCATGACATGAATTTTCTTTGCAATGGCTCTGAACACCTTCAACTCGATGATGATCAGTAAAGTCAGGTAAAACATTGTCCCTGCGGTCATGTAATACACTGGCTTAAGTGTTCTATCCAGGTTGTCGTTGGTGTCTTTAGGCGCCGAATTGTACTTCGCAGCATCGCATACTCGGCTATATTCACTTTGCATATTCAGGAGGGCGACGGATGGAAACACAGCGGAAAGAACATGCTACAAAAAATTGATTTTTAGACTACGTATTATATACAAATTACAGTGACAGACCATTTTATCCAGCGGCAAAAAAAAGTATCATTTTGCATCCGGGAAGCATCAAAAAATGTAGCAAAATACCTCCCTCTTCAAGTGAAAAAACGCCGATTTCAAAAGCCCGTTTTGTGAGGGAAAGGGCTCGCGCTTCGAGACAGAGTTTTTTTCACTTGGAGAGGGAGGTATTTTGCCACATTTTTTGATACTTCCCGGATACAAACTGATACGTTTTTTGCCATTGCAACAGGTCCGTCACTGTATTCGGAAAATTTGAAGCAAATCGGACGTCGCAATTCGAGAACCTCCTACTTTTCAGAACCTACATTTCTAAACCGTCGAACATGCCATTGGTGAGAGATCCTGTTCAAAAAAAAACCGTACCATTTTGCGTCCGGGAAGTATCAAAAAATGCAGCAAAACCTCCCCCTCCAAGTGAAAAAATCGCTTCAAAACGGAGTTTTTTCACTTGGAGAGGGAGGCATCTTGCCACATTTGTGATACTTCCCGGATACAAAATGATACGTTTTTGCCACCGGATCAGGTCAGCCACTGTAAATTTATACAAAATTTGTCATTTTTTCTAAACCATTCCCTCACACTTTCCCAATTCAACATACCATGACAGCCTGGTATTCCACTGGAGAGGTCGAAATTTTCGTAATTGGGAAGATTATGTTGACCACAATCACATCCGCAATACCGATCACGAGCGGGATGAAGATGTGGAAAGCGTTCATTGTAGCCGACGCCTTTGTCGGAGAATCAAACGCAAAGCTGAACACGTAATTTGCCATTGATGAGGCCGTAAAATACAGCATATATAATGGGAAAATCGAAGCGCTACATGCGAAATCCTGTTTCTCGGTTACGACAAAACAAGCAAAAACAGCGATGGCCAGGACAAAGAAGTACGCCAATTCTGGGATGAATTGGGCAAGCCAGTACGTGTGCCACTTTACGGAGGCCAAACGGAGCTAAAATTGCATAGAAATTATATTATCCATGACAAATTTGTTCAAAAAGTTCCAAGATTTTAACGAAATCTCACTCAAAAATCATATATTCTCTAACTGTTGACCTCATTCTAAGATCAATCCCCCTTTAAATGACAATAACAAAAAATTTTTTATATTACCCATGACAAAATTGCTCGAAAATTAAATTTTTTTTTTGTTTTACAGGCCCCAAAAACAATTACCACACCATTTATTCTGCAGCAACCCACCTGATGTTTAAATTTTGTCACTCTTTCGGTGATCACCGTGTTCAGCAACAACGACATTGTCGTGCCCAAAACATATATGGTAATCATAAAAGGGATCATTTCAATCAGCGAACCAAACAAGGAGGTGGTTCCGGCATCAATTATGGTCTCGATATTGGCTAAAAGATGTGATTTAATAAGAAAAATTCAAAAAAAAATTCAAAAAAAAAAAAAAAAAAAAAAAATATTTTTGTATTTATCCATCATGTGTAATATAAAAAATTAAATTCCAAAATTCCCTTCCAAACCTACTCAATTCCCCATTTCCAAACGCCAAGTTGCTCCAAATGTTGAGAATTCGGTTTTGACCGTTGACCAGCGTCGCGCTGTAGAGTAAATGCGTTTCGTTTGGCTTGAAATGATTAAAGTATCCAATGGAAATCGGCGGAATTTCAAATTGTTTTTGTTTGAAAATTTCCCAATCATACGGCATCTCTGTTAGGATGGTTTTCGGAAGTGATTTCTCCACCATTTCCTTTAGTTCGTCTTCAGAGTCGGTGAGAATTTGAGAGTAGGGAAGCGGGCCAAACGAATGCAAATGTTTCGGATCTAAAAGCAAAATTCGACAATTATTTAGACGCTTAAAAGACGATTTTTGGCTCGCTGCGTCAGCGGTGGACATAGGAAAAAATCGATTTTGAGTTTTTTGCATAAAAATGACCGTCGACATGTGCTAAGGAAAAGCGAACAACAGTTTTTCTTAATTCTGCCCGGAAGGCATAAATTTGCTTAAATTTGTCTTTTTTGGAATTTTCGACCTGGCGACGTCATAGAAAGAGCAAATCACCCAAAATTTTGCTTGTATACGTTTTCGACCATTGGGAATTCATTTTTTTGAAAATTAAGTCTATCAGATTACTGTAACATAGGCATATTGTAATCCGGTCGATAAAAATCGACCGTAACTCCTTCATATCAAAAATCCCACAGGATTTTATTTCAGATTCGGAATCAGCATAAAATTCTGCATATTATACACATAATGTGAGGTCATAACTCCAGGGGGGAGATCGCGTAGTATATTGGATTTTGGCAAAAAGTACGTTTGAAAGGTCGCGGGTTCGATCCCCGCTTGGTGCAAATATTGAAAACACGGCGGAAATCGCGTTTAATAGACACCTAAGGGTTATATGAGATACACGAAGCAATTTTAAACATTAATGCTTATCTAATTGCGATTAAAACTGATTTTATATAATTTTTGGAGACTGAATATGCAAAAAATGAAACTGCTTCAAACCGCTTGAAATTGGCAACACTTATTCTAGGGTCAATTGTAAGAAACTTTTCTGTTAACTTTTTTTGGTGGATCACCGTATCATGGATTACTGTAACATTAAACCTGATTTGGTTTTTCGTGTACTACATGGCGCATAAAAGTCGGATTGTCATCATTGTTCTCAGAATGGTTAAGAAAGGGTTTTCTCGTGTACAAAAAAATTTTTATGGCTGTACCGTTTGGAATGGCCGAGTTATTTGACGCACTTTCACCAATTGATTATGACATCAAGACGCGTTGCAATTAAGGTCGAATTTTCTTTCATATATAGAAAGTGGATCTTTTCGCTGTCTAAAACGACTAATTAAAACGATTTAATATTTTATGCAAGAATTTTGAAGAAAATTGCAGTTAATCAGGACACGGTTAATGCTACAGTAATCCATGGTACGGTGCTCTGCCAAAAAAAGTTAACACAAAAGTTTCTTATAATTGACCCTAGAATAAGTGTTGCCAATTTCAAGCGGTTTGAAGCAATTTCATTTTTTGCATATTCAGTCTCCAAAAATTATATAAAATCAGTTTTAATCACAATTAGATAAGCATTAATGTTTAAAATTGCTTAGTGTATCTCATATAACCCTTAGGTGTCCATTAAACGCGATTTACGCCGTGTTTTCAATATTTGCACCAAGCGGGGATCGAACCCGCGACCTTTCAAACGTAATTTTTGCCAAAATCCAATATACTACGCGATCTCCCCCCTGGAGTTATGACCTCACATTATGTGTATAATATGCAGAATTTTATGCTGATTCCGAATCTGCAATAAAATCCTGTGGGATTTTTGATACGAAGGAGTTACGGTCGATTTTTATCGACCGGATTACAATATGCCTATGTTACAGTAATCTGAGAGACTCAATTTTCAAAAAAATGAATTCCCAAAGGTCGAAAACGTACACAAGCAAAATTTTGGGTGATTTGCTTTTTCTATGACGTCACCAGGCCGAAAATTCCAAAAAAGACAAATTTAAGCAAATTTATGCCTTCCGGGCAGAATTGAGAAAAACTGTTGTTCGCTTTTCCTTAGCACATGTCGATGGTCATTTTTATGTAAAAAACTCAAAATCGATTTTTTCCTATGTCCCGGGTCCATTACGGGCTGACGCAGCGAGCCAAAAATCGTCTTTTAAACTCGCCAAATTTACTCATAATATCTCGCTATGTCTATAAATTAATCTCAGACAATTTAAATTGTATGAAACTTACCTCTGGAGCGCCATCCCCAAACCAAACCGAATCCAAGGAAGAGCAAAACAAATGGAGAAAGTAATCGGATTGGGCTCCGACAAAAGTAAAGCAAGTTGCGCCAGATCAGGGCAGCCAATTGACGGCAGAAACTCGGGTTGCGGTCCTCCTCTAAATTTCAATTTTCAGCCATTAAATCAAAATTTTTTTAATGAATCATACCTAATGTCTAAATCTTACCATCCTCTTCCACAATTTTTTCAGCATTGGCCGTAATTTTGGCCGCCACTTCATCGCTGCTTTTCTTCTCCGCCATTTCTCCGACGCTTATAAAAACCTGCTCCAGGGTGTTCAAGGACAACCCGAATGCATCAATCGCGAGTTCATTCTGTTCCTGCTCAATTTCCTCAAACATTTTTGCGAAATTTGTACTGCTTCCTTGCGGAATATTGATTCGAAATTGGGACATTAAATTTCCATCGAATTTGGCTTGTGGAGCAAACTTTTTGACCAATTCTAGTGCCCTCTGTGCGCTCTGCTTGATGTCGACATTCTGCTTGAGGGTGATGGTAAGAATGAAGCCAGTTCCAAACCGGGCTTTCAGAAATTCCGGTGATCCCGAGCAGATGACTTTGCCTTTGACCATGATTAAAATGCGGTCCGAGAGCGAATCGGCTTCGTCCATGTAGTGCGTGGTCAAAATTATTGTCCTGTAAGCGACCAATTATGCTATTCGTCAACTATTTCCACTTGATTTTACTCTTTGAAACACAAATTTGGCGGAAAAATTCAAAAAAATCTTGTAATCGACTGCCTAAAAATCAGAACAACACAAAAAAGTCAATTCCTCACCGATCCTGTTTGAATTTCTCCAAAATATCCCCAATTTGTCTTCTGGCAGTCGGATCCATTCCAGCGGTCGGTTCGTCAAGAAGAACAACCCTGCTCTCGCCAACTAGCGCCATTGCCACGCACAGCTTCCGCTTCATTCCCCCACTCAGATTCGCGGCCAAAACATCTTCCGATTCTTCCAATCCAACCTTGCTCAAGATTTCTCGACATTCCTCAGATCCGTTATAAACTCCTCGGAGTCGGGCGGACAATTTCAGATGTTCCATGCAGGTGAGGCGGTCAAACAGTGGATTTGTTTGAGGGCAATACCCAATATGCTTTCTTGCTTCAGCCAGTTCACCGGGAATTTCCGAATCGCACACCTAAATCAAAATTTTCATTCTTTTACATTTGAGGTCAAGTGCAATATAGAAATCAGCTCACAGTTATAGATCCCGCAGTGGGAGTGGTAAATCCGGTGAGACAAGAGAAGGTAGTCGATTTTCCGGCTCCATTGTGTCCAAGAAGTGCCGTAATTTCGCCGCGAAACGCTTGGAAAGTTGCGTTTTTTACCGCAAAGTTGTTGGAGATCCCCCATTTCTTTTGAAGGCCGACAACCTGTAAAAATTATAGTAAAATCGTTGTGAATGGGGATAAATCGTCTCCTTCAAGCTTAATAATGATGAAATGAAAAGAAAAAACCCGTTTTCGTCCATAATTTTCACTCAAAACCATCTTACTTTCACATCCGGTTTATTGGTCCTTCCCTCGATTGGTTCAAAATCTTTTGTATTCAACTTGATCGATTTCTTCGACGATCCCGTTGCCTCATCTTCTCCGCTCTTTCTCCTCATCATTTGCCAAAAATTTCCAAACGTAACATTATCCAGGTTGGCGTCCAGCATCAAGGTGAAGATAATCAAAATAATCGTATCCAAAATTAAAAAAATCAAAGAATGGATTATGTTGAATTCATACGAGATTCGTTCGAGGGCATATAATGAGTCTGAAATTGGCTACAACTCTTCAAAAAATTGAGTTTTATATCATCTTTTCATTATATAACACCCACCGTAACGTTGCAGCAGTTCCAAATCTCTGACGCCAAAAGAAAGGGCGGAGACCGGGCTGAGAGCCGACAGGCAGGCCGCGACCAAATTCAACCTGTTGCTGAGAAAGATTGCCAGACATAAAAGGCCCAAAATCCCAATGACATTGATCGCCACCGCAACAGATGAGCGTTTGAAGATTGTCGCGCAAAATAAGGCAAACGCTACCGAAAATGCGGAATAAATAATAACCAATCCCATATAGGCGGCACCGACCGTCGACTAGAACAACATTCATCAATTTTCGACCAAAAATTGGGGAAAAATCGACCAAACTTATATTATACTACCTTTAGAAGGTAGACGACTGGCATGGAGAGGATTATCATTATCAGAACCATCTTCAAGAATCCAAAAATAAAGTGAGAGGCGTAGTAACTCCTTCTGCTCATTCCCATAACCAGCAGGTATGTCTAAACATAAAACACAATCAAAAAATTGAACAAACCTTGATCTCGGTCTCCTTTTCATGCATAACATCCTTGACAATCAACGCCATCGGAACCAATGTCGAAAAAACGACCAGGACAAACATCAGCGGAATGAAGCCCGTAACCAGATCGGATACATACTCTTGTTGAGGAAATAAGTTGATATTCACCTAAACATTCAATATCCATCAATTGCAATATAAAATTTGCAAAAAATCGAAAAAATAAAGACCAACCTTTCTGGCTTCACGGTAATCGGTTCCAATGAGTTTGAGGAGGATCACGTCAACTGTGTATTGTTGTAAACCAGCATGAGTGAGATATCCCGTGTTTTTTAACGAAGTTTCTGAAACCAAGAACGGCTCGTTTTCAATCCAATCCCCCAGGTCGAAGGAATCCCCGCCAACACGATACTGGAATCGGCGAGAGTCGACATCAAAACGAGTAAAATTAATTGTCCTGTATGGGTACTCGTCGTCTGTAGCTGCCACAAGATGAATTCCAATTGATTCGGCGGAATCATTGAACAGACGTAGTTGGTCCTGGTTTAGGCCGCTGAAAAGAGACAAAGGATCTTTGGCCAATTGGAGATTGAATTTGGAGTGCACTCAGTGCCAGGTTTTTACATAATCGACCATTTCCGCAAAGACCAGAGCTGGCCAGAGAGGACAGTGCGCGAACTGCGCCCACAAATCAATAAGGCCCATTTTATACGATGAAATGTGTTATACCGGAGATCCTCGGCTCAACGCAAATACGTTGATCTCAACGCATTCTTACCCCACCAAGACTGCCGGAAGCGGCTCCAAGCTCGGCAGCGTCGGGATTGACACTGTTTTTGGGGTCTCCGCTTGGCTGAGCAAGACCAAAGCGATCAGTATTGGCAAGAAGAACAGAGGAAACGCCAGTTCACAGAGGAGCTTCTTCTTGCTTCGTTTCGTGACCACTAGGTCCTTGATGATCAATGCCCTCAACTGCGCAGCTGTTGACATGTTGAACAGAGAAAATTCTTGGGTTTTCGGATCGAAGCGGCCTATTCAACCAACAAATTTGGGGTTGAGAAATGAAAGAATAAAGTCTCTAAATTTTTGTGTCCAGAAAATTTTTTGAACAAGCATTACTGTCCTATGCAAATTTATTGAAAATTTAAAAATCATCCACATTGTCTCACAGACATTTATTTGGCCGAATACTATCTTTCAAACATCTTTCATCGTATAAAACGACCTCCTTTTCTTTTCGTCGAAAAAAAATATTTTTCGCGCGTTTCTTTTTTCGTCTGTTCCAAGTAGGTCTGTTTGATACTAGAAATACAACTTTTACAGTGTAAGTTGACGATTAAATTGTTATTTACACCCCTCTTCAGAGCCTCGTATGGATTAATAATATAAACCATGTCTGAAACGGAAGTTTGCGTTCTTCAGGTCAGCAACATCTCCCCAAGTGCCACCAAGGAGCAGATCAACACCTTGTTCTCGTATATTGGCAGGATTGTCGAGTTTGCGGTGAGTTTTTCTGTTTTTTTTTTGAGATTGTTTTTTAGGTGTACCCATCGGAAGGAAGCCACACGGAGAAGTTTGCTTTCGTCAAGTATGATCGGGATTCTTGTGTGGAAGTTGGCCAGCACTTGACAAACACGGTTTTCATTGACCGAGCGTTGGTTTGTGTGCCGGCGCCGAGCAGTAAGCAAAGGAAATGTTTCTTGACCATATTTTAGATAAAATTCCTGATGAAGAGACGGCTTTGAGGACCGGACCGTCCTTACCTGGTCAAAGACAGCTTCCTCCTAGTGTTACGAATTCGGTGCAAAGGAATGGGGACGAAGAAATGGTAAGAAAGTTTGTTTTTGTGTTTTCTTTGATTTTTAGGCATCAAGTTTAATACCACGGGAATTGTGGGGAATTTTCTGCAAGTTGTTTACGGTTTCTATCTGCACGGAGCTCACTGGGTGTTTTATGATCTCTACTAGCGAAAAAGAAACTATAGAATACATTGTTTTATCATCAAACTTTCTCATGGATAACATAATTCTCTTCTTTTTTCAGCTCTATACAAATGATCCCACACTATCGTCGCTTGGTCTACCGGCCTATCCACCTCTCCCGGTTGACACGGAGCCGGGAAAAGTCGAAGAAATTCGACGAACTGTCTACATTGGGAATTTGGAAAAGGGATGCGATGGAGAGAAGTTGATGGCCTTCCTAAATGCCTGTATCGGAGAGGTAATGTATCTCCGAATGACTCAGGAGAACGATGCTTTAGCCTGCTCCTATGCCTATGTGGAATTCAGCAAACAATCGTCGGTACCGTTGGCCTTGCAGAATAATGGGATTGACTACAACGGCAGAGCTCTAAAGTAAGATAATTTTAGTTTGTTTTTGGGATTTTTTATGGATTTATTGTTGAGTATAGTTTGTAGCAGGTGTAATAAGTCTTTTGCCTTTTAGAATTCAACATTCGAGAGTTGCGATTATAAAACCCAAGCAAAAAACGGCAAATCAAGCCTTGGAAGAGGTCGAAGAAGCAATTCGACAAAATGAGGGCAGAGAAGCTGCTGAAATCGGTAAGCACTTTTCTTATTATTGGTTATTCTGTATTTAGGAAGAGGTTATTCCCCAGCATCCGGACGTTCCGGCAGCAAAAGACGGTCCCCATCACCAAGAAGAAGGTCTTCGCGAAGTCCCAGACGCTCCAGAGACCGGGAGCGAGAACGAAGTCCAAGAAGAAGCCGAGAGGGTGATCGTGACAGAAAAAGCCGGTGAGAATTTGGAAAGGATGGGTTGATTTTAATTATATTACTTTAGGTCACCGAGAAGGAGAAGAAGTCGATCCCGCGACCGTTCTGATAGGGATAGAGACAGAAGACGAGATCGAGATGGAGACAGAGATCGGGATTCAGAAAGGGATAGAGACCGAGATAGAAAGGATCGTTCTAGTGAAAAGGACGAGCGAAAATCCTCAAAGAACTCATCAAAAGATAAGGATAGGGATAAAGAACGCAAGGAAAAGAAGAGAAGTCGATCAAAGAGTCCTAAAAAGGTGAGTTAATAAATTTATAATTAGTATACCTTCTGTATTATCTCAAAGTTTGAGATTTTTTGAAAAATTTGCTGTGATTTTAGGTATTTATTGAAAATTTTGATTGATTTTACTAAAATTTTATATAAAAAGTTTGATTTTTTGTTGTAATTATGATGTATTTTGTTGCAGAGTAAGAAAAGCAAGCACTCCAGTCGCTCCCCAACTCCGAAAAAGTCGAAAAAAGAGCGAAAAAGCTCTCCGACCAGCCTCGAAGAAGAGGAAGCCGAGCTCCGCCGAAGACTCCTGGAGAAGGCCAGCCTCGCCAAATGATCTTAAATTAACTTTGTTCAAGCATATAAATAAACGTGTTATTTATCAAACAAAGACCTTGATTGAGGTTGCATCCCCAATATTGTACTAGGCAAAGTTGTCAAATTTGTCAATTTTTTATTGATTTCACTATATTTTTGGGATGTTTAGAGTATAAAAAGACTTGCCAAAGCTCAATAATGATCAGAAACATCTGTAAACAGCGCTTTTCCGGTAGAATATTGTTATCGACCAGATCTTTGACGGCCAAGAAATTGGTCTACGAAGGCTATGGAGATCCCGCAGAGGTCGTCAAACTACAAGAATTTGAACTCCCAGATAGCCTAGGGCCTAATGAAGTGCAAATCCGGTGGAATGCCGCGCCAGTCAACCCGGCCGACATCAATCAACTTCAAGGTGTATATCCGGTAAAACCGAAGCTTCCGGCGATCGCTGGAAACGAAGGAAGTGCTACGGTTGAGAAGGTGAGGCTGTAAAAAGGTCGTAAAATTACTAGGCTTTGAATTTGACCGTGAATTTAAGGGTTTCTTGGATGCTCAGGTTTTCGTGGTGGGACTCAAATTGAGTAAATTTAAAATTGAAAAGAAGTGATAAATATGTTTTTAAAAGTTTGCTACTTTAGGTTGGCCCCAAAGTTTCTGTTTTCAAACCCGGAGACCTTGTTATACCATCACAATCCGGCCTGGGAACCTGGCGCACCCACTCAATTCATGGTGAAGATGAAATGTTCCCATTGGACCCAAAGTTGAATCATATACACGCATCAACGTTCCAAGTCAACCCTCCGACGGCCTACAGAATGCTCCATGACTTTGTGAAACTTCAGAAAGGGGATACTGTAATTCAAAATGGCGCCAATTCCGCGGTCGGCCGATTTGTCATACAGGTATGGGGATTTTGAGATTTTTTTGGTCTGTAGTAAATAGTAGGGGTCTTTGTTGCTCTGATTATCTCGTTTTATTCCAGTTGTGCCGGGTTTTTGGTTGGAAATCGATCAATATTGTTCGTGAGAGACCTGATATTCAAGACCTCAAAAATGACCTCAAACAACTCGGAGCGGATGTGGTGTATACTGAAGAAGAGGTGAGAAGTTATAAATTTACTAGCTATAACCATGAAATTGTCAAAATTTGTGGAAATTTATGATTTTTGACATTAATTTATATTACACTTGACAGCTGGCCAAAAATATCCGAGAAATCTCGAATGTTCGTCTCGCCCTGAACTGTGTTGGTGGCAAATCCTCATTCCAACTGTGTAGAACCCTCACGGATCAGGGATGCATGGTCACGTACGGTGGGATGTCCAAACAACCCACTCAAACTCCAACCGGACCTCTGATCTTCAAGGATATCTCGCTTCGCGGATTTTGGATGTCCCATTGGTACACGGTCCCGGAGAATCTCGCAGAAAGGAAGAGAATGTATCAGGTGTTGGCTGATTTGTTCATAAATGGTGGAATCAAGCCGGCTCCGTACACGGAACATCGCCTTGGAGAGTATAAAGAAGTGCTGGGGATTGGACTTCAAGCCAAGAAAAAACCCATTTTTGTCTTTGAATAGTGAATATTGTTGATGAATATGGAACAGTGTAGGCTTGTAATATATTTTGATAAGATTATTGATTAAAATTTTTATTGATTTTTTGTTGGAATTTGCGAAAAAAACGAAATTTTTGAAGTTCGCACAGTGCAGAGGGAAATTTTGAGATTTTTGTGAAAATAAGGAACATTCTTGGCGTATTTTGCATTTTAAAAACTTCAATGAGCCTTGATGACATTGCTTTTACCAAAAAATTTTTGAAATTTTTGAATTTACAACACCTTTTCGGCCTTGAAAAATTTCGCACAGTGCTCAAAAACCAGAAATTCCAGAGACAATTTTAGATGTTGTAACTTACTCCCGCTATTCTAATTAGTCATTACAATTTATTTTCACTCAATTTCACGTTCATTTCGGCTACGATTCAACGCCAAATTAATTGAACATCCGAAAAATATTCGCTTCGAGGGATGACAAAAGATAATTTGAGGACCGCAAATGTGTTAATCCCGTATAATCCAGCACCTTGACAACTCTCAGGCATTTGTAAGAGATTTCTGGCCGGGAGCGGAGGAAGCAAATTGGGCCGTTTTTTGGTGTGTAATTAGAGATTTGAGGGGGATTTTTAAGGGTATTTGTAAACTGAGAGTGTTAAAATTGTTAAAAACAATCTTTAGCCGTGTTTTCAGTGGCCGTGTAACTTGTTTCAACCTAATTTTTCAATTTTGGGAGATTTCAGGTTTTCGTGGTGGGACCCAAAATTTTGAAAATTTTTTGATTTTTGAGTAATTTTGAGTCATGTGAGGCTTGTACGTTCTCTAAAAGAAAAAAGAATTATTTTCAAACCTCAAAAAAATTTTTGCTGCCATTTACGTAACATTTACATCAGCATTTATCTTTTTACAATACATTATTCATCACAAATCCCCCGTAATTCCAGCAAAAAGCCAAAGTTTCCAAGAGTTCTGGCAATTTAATACGCTTAATTCCTCTTGTTATCCATTCGTTTAATCACTGCGTTCATTTTTTCGTGACTTTTAATACCTTGAGTTTCGGGCCCTCAAATGTAAATAGATTAATCTGTTTTAAAATGTCGGGCAAATTATTACATTTTTTGTAAAAGGAGAAGCTAAGCAGTGACTTTACGATTTCTTTTGTTTTTGACATTCTCGATACATTTTTTGAGCCGCGCGGTGCAAAAATTAACCGAAAGTCATTGCATTGTGCGGGCGATTTTTTTGAAATTTGCACGGTGCATCGAGGCCTTCGATTTTTTGCACTGTGCAGTTAGAAATTTTTTTGAGCCGCACTGTGCACTGTGTTTCAGTTTTTACTGCACAGTGCAGTATTTTTTCCACATAAAAAGGTCGCACTGTGCAGTCAGAAATTTGTCTTGGGCTGCACTGTGCAATATTTTTGCCTTACAAGGGCTCGGCAAAACCTCGTCCCCTGGTTTCTTCTTGAAACATATACCATTTGAAAGAGCGTAAAAAACTGGTCTAGGATCACCTTTAATTAGCTGCTAAGATTCTCTTACATACTAGCTAGCGAGCATTTTTTAGTTCTAAGCCAGTCTCACCCTTCTTTCAAGAAAACAAAAGGAATCGATTTCAAAAGCACGGCGAAGCAGTGCTTCGGTGGCCTAGTGGGGTAAGGCGCTTTACAAGGCGGACTAGGTTCGAATCCTCTTTTGAATTTTTGGATTTTTTTTGGCTATTATGGAATGAAGAAGGCTAGCATCTAGTCTTTAATTTTAAATTGATTTTTGGGGTACCCTAGATTAGTTTTACTAGAAAAATCGACAGGTTTTTAAATTTCTTGTGATATAGGTGTCTTTGACCCTGCAGTGGGCATCCAAGATGGTCGAAACTTTCAACGGTTTTTAATATTTTTTGCCAGGAATGCCCATTTACGGACAGTACGTGAAAAACGAGCCTGAAAACGGTATACATGTTTGAAACCTCCTAGTATGACTCGGGTGACAAGACCTAAAACATCGCCTAATCACTCGTTGAGGGCATCGACCTGAGAGTTTCAAGCTCGGACAAAACTTTATGTTTTTTGATCTTGATTGAAGCCTCAAATGTCATAGGTGACTAATATTTGTATGAAAAGTGATTATTCGATCTCGTTGGCATCTCAGAAGAAAAGGTTCCCAAAGTCTAATTGGGAATTTTGAAAAAAAAGTCCGCTAGCTAGCACGTAAGTGAATCTTAGCAGCTAATTGAAGGTGATCTTAGACCAGTTTTTTGCGCTCTTTCAAATGGTATATGTTTCAAGAAGAAACCAGGGGACGAGGTTTTGCCGAGCCCTTGTTACTGGCATCGTATTTCAACTACATTTCAAAAAATTTTTTTGCACTGTGCGTTTAAAATTTCTTCGAGCCGCACTGTGCAATGTTGTTCAGCTTTTTTTACCGCACAGTGCAGCATTTTTCATCACATAAAAATTGCACTGTGCAGTCAGAAATTTGTCTTGGACTGCACAATATTTTTTCGCACCGTGCGCAACTTTTGACACAAAAAATTGCACTGTGCTTTGAATTCCCCATTTTTTGAACATCATTTTTCGCCCAAAACTCCTCATTTTATAGCTTCCAAACACATCCACTGTGCCCTCACCAAGAGGTCCAACTACAATCTGCTACTCATTTATACATTCTTCTCTTGTTTCCCACTTTTCTCGTCAACGTGGCCAACCTGGAGACTCCACGACCGCGGCGTGTTGCCTCGAGGGCGTCCTTTGCTTCGATGGATGTGGCCAATGCTGGGATGCATCTGCTGGGTGCCCGGAGGGCCCCAATGAATCAGGTTTGACAAGAAAAAAACTTTGTTACTCTTGGGGGTAATGCTGTTGGAAATGCTCGAAGTTAGACGCTCAGATTTTCTTTAAATTTCGGTCATGGGTAATGTCTCTGCCGCACACAAATTCCTGGAAATTTGAGCTCACTGCTAGCAGAGGCAGCCAAGATATTCAACGACCTTTGCTGACGAGAGAGTAGGCGAAATACGGAGGGCGGTCAGAGAGGAAAACACTTTTTGGCCGTTCCTTTTTCAATTTCGCACTGAAAAAAAAAATATTTTTTGTAGAAGTGTTGTCATCTGCAATAGAAATGAAGCTGAAAATTTTCATTTCAAAAATTCGAAAAAAAATCCAAATTTCCCAGAACTTTCAGACAAAAAATCTCGATTATTACTGCAAAGTACCGACTAGCAATCTCGGATACGACTTTGAACGAAATAATCTAAATTTTTTTCAATTTTCATCGAAATCTTTATGTCGCACTACGAGCACTTCCCCTGTAAAAAAATATTGGAATCTTAAAGAATATCAGGCTGTCGGGAAAATAATGAGCACTCTGTCGCATCGAAAATCGCAAAAAAAGGATCTTCTCGTGGCAAAATCAAATTGCTTTTCATTTCAGCGATGCAATTGGCGCACCGAAATTTCGCTCATTATTTTCCCGACGGACTGATATTTTGATTTCTTCACTTTTTTCTGGCAAAGTTCCGTATTTTACATTTTTTTCAGGACGAATTCGACACCAAATTCAACTACCTAAAGTCCTCCAAATATCATCGCTACTCCGAGGACGGCCCAGCTGCTGATTTTTGCATTTGTTGCCGACTAAATGTCAGATCGCCGCGTCGCGGGTTCTCCGCCAACGAACCAGTCATCTACGATCCGAATTTAACCCCATTAAGACAGCTACTAAACATTCTCGAAACATACATACCAATTTTCTATTGGGTCCCCAAATACGACCTAAATAAGGATTTTATCGGAGATCTGTACAGCGGAGTTTGTTTGGGACTGTTGAGTTTGGCGCAAGGTGAGTTGCAACGATCTTTATGGGAGGCTTTGATTTTTAGGGCTGGCATTTTCATTTCTATCCGGACTGCCGCCAGTTTGCGGACTGTATACAACAGGAATTGCGGCGTTTGTCTATGTCATCACTGGAACATCACCGTTCAGCTTTTTGGGTAAGATTTGGGAAGGCCAGCTGCTTTGAACAAATGGAAAACTTGGTCAGAGCTTTACACTTTTTAAGGCTTTTTTGGGCTGTAGCTCGCATCTTGACCTTTACAAGTTTGGCTGTAACGCGCAAAATTTATCTAAATTCTGACTACGTTAGAGCAAAAAAAAATTATTAAAAAATCGTTTGTTTCAGCGAGTGTAAGCCAAAAATTACGCTGCGCTTTTATCAATAACCTTTTTTGGGCTGCCGCTCGCATTATGACTTTTTTCTACGCAAACGTCGAAAATCGCTCCAGCGACTTTATAGAACATAATAGTGTCAAAAAGTTTTGCACTGACCAAAAAATCGGCACAGCAGTGCTCACTATTTTTTCGACAGACTGATACTATAAATTCCGAGTCCTCATGATTTCGCTTTTCCGAATTTTGTCCGTGGCATAGAGATAGAGAGAATGCAATTACTCTTTGTTTCAGGTACAAATGCAATTATCTGTTACTTCTTCCGCAATGTTTTGGAGCGATTTTCCACTCCGCAGGACTACATTTATCTGATGGATGAGAAAAGCGAGATTTACAAGAAGCTCCTGGATGGCAGTGAGCAATTGGGATATGCATCGGCTTTGACGTTGCTTACAGCTGGCTTTCAGGTAAATAGATCCAATACGACAGCGACTACAATGGAACCTTTGTACAACAAATTCCCACATAGTAAAACCTGCCTATAACGGACGCTTTCAGCGGTCGTTAAAGTCAATTTTAGGGCAAAAGAACCTTCGTGGAACAAAATCCTTCTATAGCAAACAATTTTTCGGTCCTTCGTTATGCCGAAATATAACTGTATCCCATAAAAATACCCATTTTCAGGCCGCAATTTATATGTTTCGAGTGGAATTTCTCTTCTCTTATGTCTCCAAGCACGTCGTTGGAGGGATTTGTTTCGGGACTGCAGTGAGAATTGTCTTAAGTCAACTACAACATATCCTACATGTCCGAGGAAATCAATGTGTCTCTGAGTTTTCGGCAACAGTAAGACTACCAAATGTCATCAAATTTTTGGGTTTTCAGCTCTCTCTGATCGCGTCAAAAACAATGCCGCCCACTTTTACACAATGCACATTCTTGTCAGCATACAAATCGCTGCATTCCAACAGGACACTAAAGGTGTTTCCGCTGCTGTTTGGAGAGGGCAACGGAGGTGCGAATTTCACGGCACCGCCCGGAGTAAGTCGTGTTTTGTTGGCGTACTTGGGCTAATTTTTTTTGGAGCGAGATTTGAATTGCAACGCTGACCTATAGCGCAACTTTTTTATGTCCCGCTATATAAGATAAACAAGTTTTTAGTCTAAAATTTGTAAAGATCCACGATTTTTTGGTAAGCGCTTGCGTTAAAAATTTTAACTTGTTTTTTACCGGAGACGGCAACCTTTCTACAAAGAGGCGTTTTTGCTTTGACTCACAGGGGAAGTATGTCAGCTACGACGCTCAGATTTTGACGGAACTTGGCTAAATTTACATAAGTATTTTTTAAGACATATAATACGAGACTCGCGTTCTGCAGAAAGTCCAAGATTTTTAGGTGGAAAGCTGGCCAAAAAATTACATTATTTTTGCGAGTGTTGGCATAGAAAGTTGCATACCTCTTTCTGCCGAAGCGCAAAACTCTCTGAGGTACTGCTGAAAAATGTTTTTTCTTTCTGACCGCTCTCTGCATTTCGCGTACTCTCTCTGCAGCAAAGATCGTTAAATTTCTCGGCTACATCTGCAAAGCGAGAGCTAAAATTTTCAGGATTTAATATATGGTTTATGCCCGAAGCGTGAACAAAATTTTAAAAAATGAAAGAGCTTTGAGCGTTGAATATTATAGGATATTACTTTTTCAATCACCCTTTTTTCAGTGCGTCCTCTCCGTCTGGGACTGTTTCCGGTTTCTGAACATCTACACCCTGGCCTTTAGCGTCTGCTCATTTTTGATGTTGGTTTTTATCCGCCAAATTGTTGGCCCAATCGTCCAAAACCACGTCAATTTCCCAGTTCCGTTTGAATTCGTTTTGGTAAGTCAATTTTACCACAGCAATTTCATCAAGAATTATCCTCTATTTTTAGATGATGATAACAAGCTTCATTGCCTACGGCTTTGATATGCAGTACAATTACAATGTAGAGGTTATCAAGCATTTTGGAACGGGATGGAATTTTGTTGGTTTGCCGTCGTATCAGCAATTTCATGATGTGTTCTACGATGCGTTCGCGTTGGCATTGCCCGTGTATGCGATGCACTATTACGCGGCAAGTGAGATGAGTCGGATCTGCAAGTATCGGATGGATAGTCGGCAGGTAGGAACTTTCAGTGTTTTTTTTTGTAAACTCTGTGTAGAAAAACCGTTTTTTTGTTAAATTTGTCACAAAATTAGTGAAAGGATTACAGACATCGCAAAATTTTGGGTAATTTTCAGAACTTTAGCGTTATACGATATCAATTTATGAAATTAATGTTTCAAGAAAAGGGTCCCAAATGCTATAATTTTCTGCAGACTTTGGATACAGAAAGTGCATAGACCGCATATTGATTCTTAAAAGTCTTAGCTGGCGCTTTCCAGGTGCAGCCGAGATATTCAACAAGCTCTGTGGCCGAGAGAGAATTCGGAACACAGAGCGGTCACAAAGAAAAATACTTTTTGCCTATTTTTTTTGAAAATGTTTACATATTGGACTAAAAATCTCAGTTGTTTCTGCAAAGCGCAAGCTAGGAGTCGCGAATATCCTTTAATAAACGTCATACGGAAGTTATGTCACCTTTACCAAAGGCTTAGTAGCACTTGGAGAACTTTTCCTGTCAGGGAATTTTCGACCTTCTGCCGAACTTCTAGAATTCGCCAATACTCGTTAGCTTCTTAAAAGTCAAAATCAACTATCTTCAGGAATTAATGGCGCTAATTGTCTCCAGTGGAATCGTCAGCTTGCTCGGCGGTCATCCTCCAAGCCAGTCGATAAATCGCAATCGAATTGGGTTGGATGCGGGCGCTTGCACTATTGTAAGTCGCATTAAGCGTCTGTCTACAGTTTTCTGATATATCAAGGCTATGATTTTCATGACAATAATGACGATTTTTCTAGTTCACCAACATTTTCATTGTTTTCTTTATCATCCCCATGGTATTTTGGGCGAAATATTTGTTCGGCTTCATTCCTGTGGTAAGTTCAAAGTTCTGCACATAAATCAGCACGTTTAGGATGCAATGCAACAGAACAATGATATAAATTTCAAATTTCAGTGTGTTTTCTCGGCAATCATCGTCCATAGCATGGGCGAATACCTCAAAGAGCCGAGGCATTTCTCCCTTCTCTGGGCTGTCTCCAAACTTGATGCGGTAGGTCTTTGCCTACTTTTCTTTGTGCTGTGAGGCCTTGAAGCCACTGGATCTTCTAAAACAAGCTTGCAAATGATTTTAGAAGATCCCAAGAGGGAATTTTATCAGTCTGTCGGGAAAATAATGTGGATTAGTCGCGCCTTGGAATCAACTGTCACCGCTTTGTGACGGCTAGCCGCGGCTGACTATGAGGATTTGTTGTGTGACTTCTACAGGGCGAGTTTACCGCGACAAATCCACATTATTTTCCCGACCGAAGGGTATAACGAGCTCTCTCGAAGCGGAACTCTTCTATTCACAACTACTAGAGGTGCAAATCGGGCCAGGCCAAAAATCCCGGCCCGATTGCCATTTCTATAATATTTACAACACATACAGTCAAACCATGTACAATAAGTTTCAAAAAACCAGAAAAATTATTTGTGATGGAAGGGTTTCGCTGTATGTATAATAGATTCATCTTCTTCCAAAACTGACTTTTGGCGCCTATCAGTCTGTCGGGAAAATAATGAGCAAAATTTTGCAACGACGATTGTGTCGCTGAAGTGAAAATTAATTTGATTTTGCCGCGACACAATTCATTTCGTCGATGATTTTCGATGCGACAAAGTCCCCATTATTTTCCCGACAGATTGCTGTGAAGTTATTTGCATTGCCATACGGAGATTCATAATTTTTTTGCTTTTTACAATTCGCTTTCTCGAGCATGTAAATATCAAAATTTTGTGCTCATCATCAGATCAAATTTACTGTATTTCCAGTGTACCTTTCTGTTTTCATCGCTCAGCGCAATCTTTTGCCGAAGTTGTTCGGACGCGCTGATTTATTCGACTGGATTTGGACTACTCACTATTATTTTTAGAGCTCAATGGTAATCTTTATATCAAAACCAAGCCATATATTTTGTAAAATACGTTGTTTTGATTTTTACAGTCATCTAAGAAGTGACAAATCAAAAAAAAAAATACAAAAAAACTTAAGAAGAATAGCTCTTTTCAGGCCAAAATTCCAGCACCTGGTCAACGTGACCGGCTCCGGGACCTACTACGCCGAGCGGAATTGCTATGGCTCGGATCTGCTGGAAGAATCGGGCGTTGCGATTGTCCGTTTCGAAGCCGCATTACTCTTTCATAATGTTCAACAGTTCCGGAGAGACATTGCTTTCGCCTGCTCTCAGATCAAAGGGTATAACTTTGAATCAAAATATATAACACAACAATTAATCTCGCTTGCAGTCTTTTGTCTCACCACGAAAATGGAAAGGAGTTTGGCATTCTGCAAAATAAAAGAATTTCCAAAGAATATTTTTTTTATAAAAACCATTTTCTCGCCTTCCAAGTCCCGTTTCCTAGCCAAAAGTTCCTTTAGCCGTCGGCAAGTTGCCAAATGACATGGGTATGAACCACCAAAGTCTTAATTATTACATAAAGACACTATAATTGATAAAATATATAAATCTTCATGACTTTTTTATATTTATTTTTCCCATTTGCAGAATGCCAAAAAGTGCCAAAAAGCCGGGAACTGATTTTTGTTATGGGGAAAGATTGATGTATAACTCCTCAGCCGAGTAGTAAATGTGCCGCGATTTTTTGCATACTGTTTGATAAGAATGTGTCAATGTTGACTTCCAAGTTTCATGCGATTTTTCGTTATTATAAGTCGGTTAGACCACGGTAAAGATTGCAATTGTTGAATACTTAAGGTGGCTATATCTTGCAAACGGTAAAAACTGCAAAAATTATTTTAGGTGGTGCAGATAGAGTTCTATTCCCTCCTTCTTATTTACTATTCATCCAATCACCCGATGTCCTCAAAAGTGAGAGGCGATAATATTTGTTGGACCGTGTTTTTGTAACGAAGTGTTCAAAAATTTCAATCAATAATTGAGACGATTAGCTAAAAAAGCGCTTTTCAATTGGGATTAATTGTTGTGTAACGTTTACGGAAAACAAAGATGATTTTTGCTGTTTTTAGCCAACTTCTCGGCCCCGGAATTGGCACTCGAACCGGCAGCATGAAGAGCAATAATGCGCTGTCGGTGAAGGACGTTCAAATGAGGTCGACGTTGCTGATCAGTGGGGATGTTGTTGTGAGTTTTGATGAAATTATTTTGGCAACGGAGGGTCCTAAATGCGACGCTCAGATTTTTTAATCACATCAGCGACATTGTGTCGATTATTTTTTAACGACAGACTGATATCTCAAAAAACTCATCGTTAGGATCAGAGATTGCCACGGCTCCGGAGCCGGCTCTTGGCTCCGGCTCTGAGCGGCTCCGGCTCCGAGCCGCGAGCCAGAGCCGGAGCCGGAAATTTTGGATGCGGCTCCGGCTCCTGACCCCAAAGTCGGAGCCAGGCTTCACAGCGTTCAGAAAAGTAAAAATTTCGTGATCTTGTTAAACCAATTTGCTTGAAAAATACTGGGAAGAATGTGTTGCATACGACTTGGCTGCAAAAACGTTGGCTGTTTGACCAGAGGGCACTAATAACTTTTATTTTCGAAAAAATATTTTAAAAAGAAATTTTGCATAGGAGCCGGGATTCGGGGCCGGAGACCTTTTTAAATTTTGCACGGAGCCGGAGCCGCAGCTGCAAATTCGGCCTTGGATCCGGCTCTGGGAGCTAAAAGCCGGAGCCGGAGTCAAAATTTTGACCGTGCAATCTCTGGTTAGGATGACCTATTCACATTAGCTTACAGGGGAAAGGTCCTAAATGTGACGCTCAGATTTTGATGAAATTTGGCACAGATTTAGATTAATATTTTCTAACAAAAAGAAGAGAGACTTATGCAAGATTTGAAGCCATCATTTTGCAGAAACGACTGAGATTTTTAGGCCAAGAGATGGTAAAAATGGAAACGTTTTTTTTTCGAATTTTGGCATAAAAAGTTAGGAAAGAGTTCCCCAGATTCGCCACAACCTCAAAAAAAAATGAAAATTCAGCGCCAACTGCACAGAGGAAACAAAAATAGAAGCCTGAGCCTAGGTACTAATCTAAGCCTAGGCTAACAGGGAAAGTTCTCCAAGTGCGACACTCAGATTTTGATGAAACTTGGCACGGATTTAGGACAATTTTTTCTAAAATACATGCGAGAATCCTAGCTCGCGCTTTGCAGAAACAAACAAGATTTTTAGGTCGAAATTTGGATATAACGTGACACTTTTTTGCGAATTTTGGCGCGAAAAGTTTTATAGCCGTTTTTACTGTAGAGGGTAATGTTTCCACATAAAATCAATTTTTTCCGCCCAAAACTGGCAAAGATTTGGCCAAAAAGAGTTTTTCTCTGACCGCCCTCCCTTTTTCGTGCGCTCTCTCGGCCACGAATAGTATCATACCTATTTCCACTCTAAAGGGTTATATTTCTACAAAAAACCAATTTTTCCCCGCGCAAAATTGGCAAAGATACGGCCCAAAAGGCGCTTCTCTCTGACCGCTCTCCTTGTTTTGTGTGCTTTCTCGGCCGCCAAATATTGTTGAATATCTCGGCTGCGCTTGCAAAACATGAGCTAAAATTTTCAGGAATTTATACGTGGTCTATACCCAATTTATCTGCAAAATTCAAAGACTCTCTATGCGTCGCAGTTGAAACCCGATTATTTTTTTCTTTATTAACCTAAACCTTGCTTTTCAGCCAAATTTCGACGCTCCAGGCACTTCAATGCAAAAAGTCTGCATTATCGACTTCTCATCGGTGCCGACGATCGACACCGCCGGCTTGGAAGCCATGCGCGACGTTTTTGAGCAAATGGCCGAACAAAAAGTTCGCATCCTTTATGCGGCGGTAAACGCGACAATTCGGCATCGTTTCAAGATGTGCGAAGGCTTCGAGGTCGTCCCAAAACATTACTTTTTCCCGTCCGTTCATGATGCTGTTCTTTGCGCCCAACAAATGGGGGGAATTGTGGCACCAAGTGTTCATATGAGGTGAGGAGAAAAAATAGGAAATTTTTGCTTGGAAAAATCGAAATTTTAGAGTGAAAATTTTGGAAAAATCTTGGGAAAATCATGATCCAGCAATTTGAAGGCAAATTTTAGGAGTTTCAGTCAAAATTCAGCCGGTTTTTTAAATGTTTATGAAAAAAAATCACACAAAATTTTTAGAAAAAGTTAAAAAAATGTATTTTTTGATTTCCAAAATGTCCCAAGAATATTTATAAGCCCTTTTTAAACAAAATTGGACTTGTTCAAGTATTACTTGACCAAAAAAACGTCAAAAATGTGTTTTTCAAGTTCCAAAATGACCTAAAAATATTTTTTTTGACCAAAACCGGACTTATTGTAGTATATTTTTACCAATTTTAGTCTTCCTCTTTCAAATAGTAGTCTCAAAAGCGCATAAAATCTCTTTTTCTTCTCTCCTCTCTGCCCTTTGCTCGCCCGAAAAAACGAAAGAGCTTTTCCCGCCGAATGCGAACAGCGGTTCCATGGTGTAGCGGTTAGCACTCAGGACTTTGAATCCTGCGACCCGAGTTCGAATCTCGGTGGGACCTAAGCGTAAACTTTTTGTTTTTTTTTATAAATTTAAGGGTGTAATAGTGTAAATTATTGTATAATTTTAATTTTTACATCTTGGTTAGTAAATTTACTTGGCTTTGAAGTAGGAAAACAAGATTTTTTGAGCAAAAACGGTTAAAAAATTGCATTTTTAGTGTGTCAATGAATGGCTATCGAGATTTGATCGCGTTATCGAGTGCCACATCTCATCACGACATGCTCAATCGATCTCCCCAACCGCAGCAGCAGGACAATCCAAATGCGGACAATTTGTCCGCAGGAACTCGGAACTCTTTCTCGGAACAGCGAATTACACCGCCATTAACTTTGAAATTATAATTTAAAAAATATATTTTTTGCTTTCCAAATAAACATCAATATTTTCGCTCTTCTTGTTGCACTTTTTTTCTGCAGACCGATTGTGCAAGAGCTTAAAAAATCTTTTTAAAAATTTTGCTTTCAAGGGTTTTTTTTTCAATTTTTGTTTTTTAAAGTTCAATGGAGAAGATTTTTGATGAATTCTATTGTCCAAAAAAAGCTATTCAGGTTGAGGTCGCGTGCTCTAGTGTTCTCTGAAGGTTGAAAAAACTATTTATGATGCAATTCGCAACACTTCTGCAGCAAAAATCTTAAAAAAAAAAGAAAAAAAAATTTTGTCGCCTTTTGACCATGGTTAATATAAATCCAAAAATTAAAACAAAACTTTTGCTCCGGGAACAAAATCTCTTCTCACGTCATAATTCAAGCCCTCAGGCACTCAAAAATCGGTTGACCTCAAAAGGTCGGACCTTTTTTCGTCCACTAAAATGAGATTTTCCCTTCCGGGCAAATGACGGAAATCAGATTTTCACCCCGAATTTATTTGCACCGCCGTCTTCTTGGCGCCGAAAACAAGAGATGCGGCCCCGATGTGGACAACAATAGGCCAAGGAGTTAGAGGTCTTTATTGTCATAGAGGCTTTCCCGAATGCGTGGAGGCGTTTTTTCGAGGTTTAGAGATTATTCTGCTCAATTGAGTCCGTCATAACAAAGTTTTTGATTTTATATCTGAAAAAGGAAGTATTCGAAAAAATCGTGGCACAGCTTTTAGGCTAGTCTTTTCCAGAGATTGCTACGGCTCCTGAGCCGGCTCATGGCTCCGGCTCTGAGCGGCTCCGGCTCCGAGCCGGAGCCAAAGTTTAGAGCCGGAGCCGGAACCAAAATTTTGACCGTGGCAAACCTTTCTCATTCTCTGACCCAAAGTGTGCAACATTTAAAAAAAATTGAGTATCGTACTTGGAATAGTTCTCTTGTGGGATAATATATCATAGGAAGTCACCTCGTAACGAAGTTTTTTTTTGATATATAGTCAAACCCATATACAACGAGCCCCAGTGGTAAAAACGGATTTATTTGTTATAGAAGGGTTTCGTTGTACAGGGGTTCATTTTGGTCTAGAATTGGCTCTTGGGACCTCTGAAGTTGTCCGTTATATACAGGCTTTTTTGTACGTAGATTTGTAGAGTTCCACTGAACTTACTCTCTCAGCCAAGTTTCCTCTTGATTTCCGGATTTCCCGAATTTCAAACTCCCCAAAAAACAGTCTTGCAATTATGCAAATCAAGGAGCGGCCGCGAAGAAAAATCTCATAAAATTATTCCGCGAAAAAAGTCGATCCAAAGCAATTTTATGAGCCTTTATTGGTCAAAACATTTGAAAAGAAATCAATTTTACTTTCTTCAAGCTTTTTAAAAAGTGATTACAGAGCCACTTCCTCGCAGTTTATTGTAATTTATTATGATCCCTTCCTTATTGTTTATCCCCGAAGATGTTTTGGCAGTCCGTTTGCTTCCCGGTATGGGCGCAATTGCACCCCAGGGACCGTTGTTTGGAATCAAATATGGAGAAAATATGTCTGTGGGTGAGAAAAAACGGACGGAATGTCGCAAGTGGAGTTGATGCGTATTTTGTTTATGGTTATTGTATAAATAATATATATAATAATAGCTGACAAGCTGGGTAATGAGTGGATGGAAATTTTTTTTTGACAATATGCAACAGGGGTCCGGGAGTGGCTATACAATTTTTCTGGCTTCTTATCCAGGAGAATCGTATAGGCAGTCTGTCGGGAAAATAATGAGCCCTCTGTCGCATCGAAAAATCGCATCGCCGCTGAGAAAATAAATTGTATCGCGAAAAAATCAAATTGCTTTTCACTTCAGCGACGTGATTGGCTCAGCGAAAGTGGGCTCATTATTTTCCCGACATACTGATATGTAGTTGACAATCATGGTATTTTGATTGGATCCGAATTCTTTTTTGGATCTTGGGACCTCTGAAATTCTGTACGAGGGCCCCCGTGAACTTGGGCACGCCATATCTAGTGGACAAAAAATGGGGTACCTCATCTTCCCATTGATATAAATTTCATAGAAATTGGTGCATTATTGGCGGAGAAATACTTGAAATATGGTTGCAAGCTTCGGCTGAACCACGCTTTATTGTAGTTCTATTTACAAAACGGAAATTTTGTAAGTGCAATATTTTCAATGGTTAGATTTTCCTTATATTTTACACACACGTTAAAACGCACTTCGCGAGCTGTGGAAGGGGGGTCTGCCCTAGAAATTGACCCCCACTTTTTTTTGTCTTAACTGATGACATGTAGGATGCTAAAGAACTTGGTGAATTTTTTTCGAAAAATTCGTCATCATGACCGAGATATGACGTATTTATTGAATTTCGCATAATGTGATATATTGTACTGATTTATTGCCGAAATATCTCAGAACTGAGTATATATACGTTATTGGCCATGCTGAACAACTTTGTAATTGACCCGAAGTTTGTCAGGTTACTGTAACATACCGTAACGCCAATGCTCAATCAAAAAATCTCGATTTTCTCGATTTTTTTCAATAATTTTCTCGGAATTTTTTTCATTTTTGGAATCAGCATCAAATTCTGCATCGGATAGGCTATATGCGCATCTCCAGATAGGTGTACAAAAATGTCGTGGCGCAACCGGTAGTGGGTCGGACTACCATTCAAAAGGTCCCGGGTTCGAGTCCGGGTGGAAGAAAAAATGCTCAAACGCGCTGGAAATTGTCCCAAAACAGTTGTAATGTATTGGAACTGTGTTAAAAATAAATAATAATTAACATTTTCCCCTAAAAAGGCTAAGTTTTGGATTTTACGAAATTTTTGAAAATCATGATTTTTGTGGGCCCAAATCTGCCGAAGAAATGAAAATTTTTTGTTAGCGATTTTTTTGTTTAGAAACAACGCAGGGCACACAGAAAGACTATTCCTCAGAGGATTTCGCTCTATTTTGCCCAAAACACCAAAAAGTTTTCGCATTTTGCCATTTGACAAAAAATTGAGATAATGATTTTCAGGTGTTCTTACGCGAAAACGTTTCCAGTTTTTCTAGAGCAGTTTTTTGCGCTGCCTTCAAATAGCTTTCTAACAGCCGCGAAAATCTTCCACAAAAAAATTTTACATTCAAAAATTTGTAGATATTCACATATTTCATGATGTTACAGTATTTAATCTTGTAAAATTTGCTAAAATTTCGACTCCTCATAGTACAAAACATTTGTATCCACATTTGAATGACGTTACTTCGGTTTACTGGGTTCTGGCGGGGCTCTCCGATTAAAACAAAAAAGTGCAACTTTTTGGTGTTTTGGGCAAAATTGAGCGAAATCTTCTGAGGAATAGTCTTTCTGTGTGCCCTGTGTTGTTTCTAAACAAAAAATCGCTAACAAAAAATTTTCATTTCTTCGGCAGATTTGGGCCCCCAAAAATCATGATTTTCAAAAATTTCGTAAAATCCAAAATTTAGCCTTTTTAGGGGAAAATGTTAATTATTATTTATTTTTAACACAGTTCCAATACATTACAACTGTTTTGGGACAATTTCCAGCGCGTTTGAGCATTTTTGCTTCCACCCGGACTCGAACCCGGGACCTTTTGAATGGTAGTCCGACCCACTACCGGTTGCGCCACGACATTTTTGTACACCTATCTGGAGATGCGCATATAGCCTATCCGATGCAGAATTTGATGCTGATTCCAAAAATGAAAAAAAATTCCGAGAAAATTATTGAAAAAAATCGAGAAAATCGAGATTATTTGATTGAGCATTGGCGTTACGGTATGTTAAAGTAACCTGACAAACTTCGGGTCAATTACAAAGTTGTTCAGCATGGCCAATAACGTATACATACTCAGTTCTGAGATATTTTGGCAATAAATCAGTACAATATATCACATTATGCGAAATTCAATAAATACGTCATATCTCGGTCATGATGACCAATTTTTCGAAAAAAATTCACCAAGTTCTTTAGCATCCTACATGTCATCAGTTAAGACAAAAAAAAGTGGGGGTCAATTTCTAGGGCAGACCCCCCTTTGAGCCTGCTTCAGCAACTCGCGAAGTGCGTTTTAAGCATAGGATTTTTTAAAATTTTGTGCACATGTTGAGAATAGACCCCATATCAATGCCTGAAAATTTTAGCTCGCGATTTGCAAGTGAGGCCGAGATATTCAACGATCTTTGCCGCCGAGAGAGTACGCAAAACGCGGAGAGCGGTCAGAGAGAAGAAACTTTTTAGCCGTATCTTTCTCAGTTTCGCAAGGAAAAAATTGATTTTTTGTAGAAACATTACCCTCTACAGTAGTAACAAGTATGAAACTTTTCATGCCAAAATTTGCAAAAAAAATTGTTGCAATTTTTCCAAATTTCGACTAAAAAATCTCACAGGGGAAGTACTCCAAGTGCGACGCTCAGATTTTGATGAAACTTGGCATAAATTTAGAATAATTTTTTCTAAGATATATGCGAGGATTCTAGCTCGCGCTTTGCAGAAACAACCGAGATTTTTAGATCGAAAGTCGGCAAAAATTCAGGATTTTTTGACGAATTTCGGCACGAAAAGTTTCATGCCTATTTCAACCGTAAAGGATAATGTTTCTACAAAAAATCAAATTTTTCCGCACGAAACTGCCAAAGTTATGGCCAAAAAGCGTTTTTCTCTCTGACCGCTCTCCACGTTTAACGTGCTCTCTCGGCGGCAAAAATCGTTCGATATCTCGGCGGAGCCCGCAAAGCGCGAGCTAAAACTTTCAGGAATTGATATTTAGTCCATACCCGACGTGTGCGCAAAATTTAAAGAAAACCTGAGCGTCGCACTTGGAGTACTTCCCCTGTCAGTAGTTTTTGCAAAACGTGAGCTAGAAGTCTTTCACTGGCTTTCGAAAAAATTATTCAAAATTTGCGCCAAGTTTCATCAAAATCTGAGCCTCTCCTTTCGAACATTTTTCCCCTGTTAGCACTCAATCTTTGGCTATTT